TTATGGGTCTCTAGTTTACTCAATGTGGAGTTTGCTAACCTTCATGGATCTATAGATTGAGGGTTTCTAAAACAAATTTGGGGAGTTTTCAGCCATCATATCTTCAACTGTTTTTATCATTTTTATGAAGGAAATAGTTTTCAGAGGTCCTTAGTCCCCCATTTTCTATGATGTTACCCTTAAATTACTTTCAAAAAATATCTTTATTGATTTCAGAGAGGGAGAGGGAAAGATAGAAACATCAATGATGAGAGAGAATCATTGATTGGCTGCCTCCTGTGCCTCTCCCAATGGGGAATAAGCCCACAACCCAGGCATGTGCCCTTGACTGGAACCGAACCCAGGACCCCTCTGTCCGCAGGTTGATGCTCCATCCACTGAGCCAAACCAGCTAGGGCCAAAATTACTTTTAACAAGAAGTTTACATGGTTGGACTTAATCTAAACTTTTTCTCCTTTTAGCAGAAACCTAACTTTTCTGTTTTCAGCCTCAGAGGGGTGTGTAGAGTCTCCTAACAGAGAGGGAGAGAGAGAAAGAAACATTGATTGGTTGCCTTTCGTATGACCACAACCTGACTGGGAGTTGAACTGGAAATCTTTCCGTGCACAGGACAATGCTCAATCTACTGAGCCACTCCAGCCAGGCTCACTCTCATCTTAACATGTCTAAAAAAGTCTTTGGAAGCAGATATATTAATACCCAAAGCTTTTTTTTTTAAGGAAAAATACAGTATATGGAATAGAATGTTTTATTTTCAGAATGTGCATAGTGCTAAAAATAGACACTGCCCCTAACTCTCTGGACTCTACTCTGCCCCAAAGAAATCTCCACTTATCCAATTAAGCAACAGAGAATCAGAATTAGGACTGTTTACAGAAACAGGAATTTGGAGGCTAGACTGAAAGATAACAAAGTCACATAAATTCATATAAAGTGTATTTCAGGTTCTGGTGTGCAGTTCAGCCCTCCATTGTCTCTCTCTTCCTCTGGCCCCAAGAGCCCAGAGGTGAGAAGAACAACCTAGAAGACAGGCTTCCACTGTGTCCTGAGGGCCTCTAGGCCAAAAAAGCTTTATGGTTCCCCATTTTCTTGTCTGTAAGGTGCTATCCGAGGCACCTTCCAGCTTTCACACTCTAATTCTGAGGGAGACCAGAACTATACCAAATCGGTAAGTGTGATGCCAGGATGAAGGGACTCGGTGTGCACATTTTAGATTTTTACTTCATGTCAAAATTTGTTTAATGGTATTTTAGTAAGTAAACATACATTTGTAAGTTTTTTAAAAGCAAGAATTCAAGACCAAAAAGTGTTGCGATTAGATCTCTTCAGAAATGTTACTTTGGCACCATCTGCTGGGGAGCTTTTAAAATCTTTCCTGTACATAAATTTATTACCTTCCCAAAATGACTTAAAGGAAACTGTCACTCATTTATACCTGGATTGAGTATCCTAGCAGCTTTTATTAGTGGGAATTTCTGTGTAAATTCAGCATCACTAAAGGGGCACAGAACTTGTCCTGGGTAACTTTATGCTAACACATGCACATAAGTTTTAGAATGTGTTTGGATTTTGTGTGGGCACCTGTTTCAGCTTTTTCAGCGGCACCTGACAACCACTGTACTTTTTGTGGCAACCTGGGCTGTCTTTTGAAGGCCTGTGCACCAGGCACCTGAGACATATTTACTTACTGAACACAAACACTTACTTGTTAAGTGAAACTTCCTGCCTCCCAGGACTTGGACCACTCTTCAAGAATGCTTCCCAGCACCGTCACAACAGCTTGTCACTTGCCAGGAGGGTGACCTGGGGCAAATAATTTAACCACTGTCTTCTTCTCTATACATTAGCTGGCTGATCTGTTGCATGGGTACTATGAGACTACAATGGTTAACAAAGCCTGGCACTAAGCACTCCCTAAGTTACCATCACTATTATTCCCACAGACCCTGCTTTTCCTGTGGGAATACTCCTAGGACTGGCAGAATTCCCAGGAAGAAAACTCTTCACTCCATCTACTTAGGACAAGATGGATTTCATTTATTAATGGATTAAGCTGAGATCACACTTATATCTAGTTTCTGATATCAAATAGCCTCGTTATGGCGCTATCACTTTTTACATAATTATTTCTCAATGTTTACCTGAGAAAATTGGGAAGACATAGGCTTTTATGTCTCCCCTTGTCCATTCACCAAAAACCATCTGTGGTAGAAGCCACTGGTGTCCCCCCAAATCCATCGTCCATCCTCTCCTTTCAGAGCGAGAACAGCAGGCAGGCACAGAGCTGTTGACAGTCCCAGTTTACCTGGCAGTGTGGCCACCTGACTAAGTTTTTGCCAATGGAATATGCTGAGAAGTGATGTGCACCCCACACAGGCTGAGCCCCACAGAACTTCCCCGGCTGCATGAACTGTCCTTCCGCAGGATGGATGCAGGCGACAGCCCTGCAATGGTGGTCCACAGACAGAAATAAACCTTGGGTCCCGGAGGGACTGGGGTTGGGGAGGGGAGGGGAGCCTTGCCCTGCACACCTCTCTCCCCACCTTAGAACTGCTACTCAGTCAAGAAACACTTTCCTGCCTTAACTACAGCAATGGTGTGATCAGCTTTGTGACCACAGCCGAGCTGAACCTACATGCTAACCAGGTGTCACTGTGAGGCCTTTCCACTGTCCTTCCTGTTTACACAGACAACAGTCACATATGTGACTTTGTAACGTATTTCTACAATAATATTTTTCTGTATATTTTACATTCTTCATAATAATTTAATAGTTGCAGGCTAGTCCATAAAGTAGCATTATTCCATAAATTGTAAGTCACTTTCCACTCTCTAAATAATGCTAAAATGAACATTTTTGTGCAGAAGCCTTATTCTATATTTGAATCATTTTAAAAGCATCATTACCCTAGCTGGTTTGGCTCAGTGGATAGAGCGCTGGCCTGTGGACTGAAGGGTTCCAGGTTCGATTCGTCAAAGGCACATGCCTGGGTTGCAGGCTCGATCCCCAGTGGAGAATGTGCAGGAGGCAACCAATCAATGGTTGTCTCTCATCACGGATGTTTCTCTCTCTCTCTCCCTTTCCCTTACTCTCTGAAACCAACAATATATATATATATATGTATATTTTCATCAGAATTGGCAGTATTCACAGATTATAAACACACTGTTGAACACCTTTTCATAAAGACTGAATCCATTTCATTACTATCTTAATATACTCATTTTATCAGACTTTGAAAGCAAAAAGATTTTATAAATATATAATGGTATAAATGTAGGTCAATTTGATTTTTTAAAATTTCCCCCCCTTTTTGCCAAAACCGGTTTGGCTCAATCGATAGAGCGTTGGCTTGGGGACTGAAGGGTCCCGGGTTCGATTCCGGTCAAGGGCATGTACATTGGTTGCGGGCACATCCCCGGTGGGGGGTGTGCAGGAGGCAGCTGATTGATGACTCTCTCTCATCGATGTTTCTAGCTCTCTATCTCTCTCCCTTCCTCTCTGTACAAAATCAATAAAATATATTAAAAAAAAATTCCCCTCCTTTTTATTTTGCATTTCTTTGATCACTACTGAAGCTGAACACCTTCCCGTTTGCTAATTAGCTGTGTGGATGAAATAGAGGCCACACACTAAAACTGACAAGCTCAGGGGAGGCCTGCATGGCAGCCTTACAAACGCAGAGACTTAAAAGTAACCAAAGAGGACTGTCAGACATTAAAACTTTGTAACTAAAAGCTGCTCATGGCACAGAGTCATGACAAAGGTCAATGTTTATCTTAGAGCCTGTTTTCTTTTTTTGTATCTCTATGGTAAACATACCTGGTAATATAGCTTTGGAATTTCAAAGTAATTATTTTTTTCTGGAAGCACAAGCACACCAGAGCAGAGACCACAAATCTCCTCACTGTTATTATCATCATGTTATCCTATATCCACCTATGTGTCTATCATTTTACTTTTTATTCGACCTCAGAGTTTCCCTGCTTTGCTTTCTCCCGCCTCCCCAATATATCCAGTGAATTTCATGTAACCCTCTTATGCCCTCCTCCTTTGATTATAAAGTATAAAGTAGTAAAACTGCCATTTTCCAGAGCATTTTCTCAATCTGCTGAAATTTTGTTTCCCAACAACTGTCACCTGTTTGGCTCAAATAAACTCATACAAATCCTTACAGGTTTGGATGTTTTCTACATTGACAGCTGTACCTCCTCTTCTAAAAATTTTATGTCCTGCCATCAAATAGTGTAGATATATACAATCTAGCACTAATAGATATTATCAAAAATCAATCACCCAAAACTTCAGAAAGCAATTTATTAAAAGTCAGAACAAATATTAAGGCACAAAATATATCCATTTTTTTAAACAAAAATCTTTCAAATAGTTTTGTCTTACATTCAAAGCAACTTTTTCCAAATTATACAATAATTTAACCATTTAAAATAGAAAAATATAACTTCTTAAGTCCCTAACCTTTCTCCCCAAATACGTTTTCCTAGTTCTAAGGAAGCTTCTTAGTGTATAGTGAGTTCCTGTGTTATATGTACATTTCCCTAAAAGTCTCATTTGTCACTTATATACATCTGATATGCTGAGGACTTTAGTTATCAGTATAAAGCCTGGTGTTTGGTACTGCTTACTGCATGCTGTTGATCAGGCATTTTGATAATATCTATTAGTGCTAGATCAGGCAAAGGCACAAGTACCAAAGCCAGTGACTTATAAACTAGCACATCTCAACTTTAGGCCACTCATGTGCAGCCTAGCACGGCAGACGCAAACCCCTTTTTAGAAAAGGATATAAAAATCACCTTGTATGTACGTTTTTTACACCTCAGTCTCGATATTCTAGTAGTGCAAACATAGTGTACCATATTGGGCAAGTCGATATTCTCTACCGGACATGAAAGATTTAAAAAATTATTTTCTTTACAGGAAACGTATGGACACATTATCTCTCAGCCTTAAAAATTCATGTGCTGATCTGTTTTGTCTCATTTTTGAAATAAATTAACTATCTTTTAAAGCAGATACCAACTAACTCAAAATCATGAAAATTCCCTTTTAATTTTACACAGCATATAAATCTAACATGAATTGCAAATGCTTTTCTAAGCATTTTGCCTAGAAAAACAAAAGAGGACTCTGGCCCTCAGATCCCTTCCTTAACAGGAAGGCCCATCTTGATGGCATCCTAAGAAATTAATGTGACCTGGATGGCCAGTTCCTGGAAGCTTCATGCTGAAGCAGGATGATGGCTGCATGGTGGCCCCTAGGGCGCCCCCTCCTGTTCACATGAGGGGGTTCAGAAGGCCCTCCACAGGAATCCTCGATTCAAGACACCAGGTATCAACCAAGGACACAATAATCACTGGCAGCGACAGGCACAGTGCACACCTTTGAAAAAACAGTATTTCCGACAGCCATCAGGAGGGAAGCTACTTTCTCTGGGTGATGAGGAAAGCCTGCATTTCAGCCTCAGGCTAAGCCATCCAGGGTCCAACATTTATTTTTCCAGGTGCAGAACACAGGGTTTTTATAAACACTTATTGAGGTTACATCAGAGGCAGTTTCCGGTCCCACACTGGCCATTGTTCCCATTCCCACCCCACTAGCTGGCAGCTCCTGCTGGCCGGACGCCCAGGATTCTGCATTCAGAATCCAGCTACAGCTGTATGATTTGGGAGTGAACCTGTCTCGAAAGCTGGGCAGTGGCATTAGGTAAAGATTTTAGGAAGAGGACAGTGGTCACCTCTGTGTCTGAAACAACTTGGGGTAAGAGTGAACTACACCCTTGGAAAGGATATGAATGCTGGGAAATGTACAACGCTGCTTGATATTCACGACTGAAAATAAAGTTGACAGTATCTTTTAAGAGACATTACTACTGACCTCAGGATGGAAATAAATCTTTTTTTACTAGCTCCTGTGAAATGGATAAATGAGAAGTAAATTCCAAAGAAAAAAAGTTTGTTTTGTGGCCTCACAATGAGATAAAAAAGGAAGATTATATTTAAGTGTTTGTACTGTGATGCTTCTCAATCAAAATCTGTGGGATCGTTCTTCACTCACAAGAAAGACACGTGACTCCAGCTTTAATTCCTACTCTAAAGGTCACTAGCGCTTTGATCATGAAAGCAGCAAATATTCACACTTCCATCAGACAACTTTCAACTGCCTTTCAAATTTAGAATGTTCTGCATTAGAAAAAAGTCAAGTTACACATAATAAAATAATGTATAAAACATGGTTGAAGGTTAAGACATTAATTACAAGACTAACAGTGAGGTACAGTACCGTTTAGTACTCTGCAAGATTACACACAAGGTAAGGTTCTAGTTCCCTCCACGGTCGCCCCGCTGGCCGGGAGGGCGTGCTCTGAGGGAGCCACTAGCCAGGTGTCCGCCTCCTGCCCGCAGGTTCAGCAGCAGCACACGCACATACAGCCTGAGTGGGGGGACAGTGGCCGAGCAAATCTTTGGAAGTGACCCTCAGGACCACTCTCTCCATGCACTGTGTCCACTGAGCTGAGAGAGCGAAGACGTCCAGGATTCGATGAGCACGGTGATGACAGACTGGGCTTGTGCAAATGTGTGCACCTTGGTCACATAAATATCCGATGTTCCGGCGTTAGCCACGTTCTTATTATCAAGTCACTTCAGTATAAAAGTCAAAGGAAATTACTATGGCATCTAGTGCCCATAAACCCAGGAGATGGAGGCAGTGTTTGGCCATGCTTTACTTGCCTCAAAGGTCAGTGGGAGAATAGTAAGAGTGTTTATGTAAAAATAACGCTTCAATCTGGAACTGCCATATTTTCCAGAAAAAAAGAGACAACCCAATCCACACGTCTGCCATCCACCAGCTTAGGGCTTTGGGACATATGTTTTATCAAAATACTTTTCTTAGGTGATTTCTAAGTAGGGCAATTTAATGGGCATTAAACTGACATTCAAGAGCCAGCTTAAAAGGGGTACAGAACCCATCAGCCCACTGAATTTTTAATTTGAATACATAAATTTCCAAGATAACACTATAAAAACGTGTTGTGTGACCTCCTTTAGTCCTGGGAGTCCTCCACTGTTAAACAGGTTTCACATTATCTTTTCTGAAGAGAACATTTTTTCTGCCATTTCAGATCTGGTCATAATTTCCTAAAAAGGAAAAAACAAATAAATAAAAGATTTTCTTCCGGTATCTAACAAAACTCCTGAATCTTTCAACAGTCATGGTTTTTGTGGAGAACTGAGTATATTCCACAGTATACAGAGAAATGTTAGGTATAAAAAATAAAACCACATAACCCATACTCCCTAGTACGTCTAGTCGGTTACCCGCTGAGAAGTACAGGGAACGTCAACGTCCCACTGGCTAGAACGCATCCTGAGGTCAGAGTCATCAGGGAGAGCAGGAACAGCTCATCTAGGTATTCACCTCTCTTTACCAATTAACATACTTTTGAATTAGAAATCATGATTTATCAAATGAATACTATAAATGCTCTTTTAAGAATAATTCCATGGTAGAGTTATAAATCCGGAAGTTTGACAGTTTTGCATCTGGGTACAGGTACACTGCAGCCTTTCTAAGCTCCCCATCCCACGACAAGAGTCACCAACTGGCTGACGGCAAAGAACCAGCCCTGCTTTGATCATGAAAGAACAGAACTGACTGCAGGGTCCCCGTTCTTCAGCCACCGTGCAAGTCACTCCTCAGCACCACTGACCGCCCTCGACTTCACATAAGCTCGCGCCCCGCAACCCCTCTTCTCATTCTTATGCTTCACACTCCTGCCCAACTTGGGCTACCTTCCAAGGTCCAGATGATCCATAACTAACCCCTCCCCCCCAAAAAACAAAAACAAAAAACAACCAAAAAACCTTCCTAGATCTGCATCCTTTATTCAAATTTCCTTAGTAAATGAAAATCAGTCAGAAACTTGATTTAACACCCCAACACAGTATCTTCAAGTATGAGATTAAGTTAGACAAACTGCCATCTTTTAAACTCTTCCTATACACAAGATGTAGAAAATCAAAGACTTAAAATCTCCTAAAATAATTCTTCCCTTTCTTTATACCAACAAGCATTTATCTTGCTCTTGCTTTCAGGATCCAGTTCCTTTAAACTTTACCCACTAATCAGCATTATCTTTCAGCTTGCTCACTCTGGGATCGTTTTAAAAAGTAACTTTCAACTGAAATGCACTTCTACTTTGTGAAAATAACAGACCCAAGGAAGTCAGCGAAAATTCTTTACCTCATCTGAATCTACCAATACCGGAAGAGCTCTGGAAAAAAACAAAGGGGGAGGGAATGTTATTAAAAGGCCAGTGTCTCTACGAAAGCTGAACATGAGCGCACTACGCTCCACTGTTTTCTCTTGGATGGACAGAGCCACAGTGACGAAGACCCGGGCTCACCACTGCAGAAATGGCTCTGGAGTTCTAGTGTCAAACAATGCTGATAAAGAAGACCAGGAAGAGCTCCGAGTTCCTATTTTCCTATGCTCATGCTTTTCCTCCAGGAGCTTCCTCACCACACACCGTCATGTGGTTATATGTGATTTACATGTTTGAACTTCTCCATAATGAAAAAGTTAAAACAAAATGATTCTGATCCTATAAACTTAGATCTGAAAAGGCTGGAATAGGTAATAAGGCACAAGTATTAAAATAGTTGTACAGTGAAAAAGGGAGAAAGAGAGAGCAAGGCAAGGCTGTGTTTTCTTTGCAATTCAATGTGAAGTAAAACAGTAAATCACTAGTGAAGAGGGCTATAAAAACCCGGAGGTCTGAGGTCTGAAAAGCACATGACAAAGTATGAATTCATCCCTTCACACTCGGGCCAAAATGTAGATTCAAGCTCCAACAGGACACTTACACGTCTGTGAATGAAGAGGGAATATTTTCTTCCACCCACTTCAAATCTTCATCCTGGAGAAATAAACACTTACGTATTCATTCTTGCTTAATATTACTTGAAAACAGAATTTTTAAACAGAGTGTATATAAAATTTAAGCATTTAAATAAAATGCATGACATTCTTTTAATTTGTATATATTCTAAGATGTTGGCACTAATGCCACAAAAAAATTATGCCAGTATTTTCTTAAACAGGCAAACAAAAATCTGGATTTTTAATTTTTATATTCTTGGTTTTTGTTAGCTGTGCAGTTATTTTTCATCCTAAAAACAAAACAAAACGAACACACACACACACAAAGAATGGATTTATACAATAGGAAATAGAAAGAAAAATAGTGATTTGTACTGATTTCTTTACTCTGAGCATTTATTATGCTTCCTAATTTGTTCAAGTTTTTATGAATTTTTATTTTTTCAAAAGAAAAAAAGAGGATGGTACAAATATTCTAACTTTACAAAAGTTAAATCACTTATATTTATGCTCTCCTCTCTATAGATAAGAAAATGAAAGCAGGTCATTTAGACTATCTAATTTTTTTTAAACAGATACTTGCTTATAGTTACCTCACTGAGAGAGAGAGGGGAAAAAGGTATAATGAATATTTAGGTTTATAATGTAAAATAAATCAAAATGTTTCTTTGTGATCTACCTGGATACATTAAATATTCTGGTTCTAGAATTAATAACAACTTGCTTATCTAGAGACAAAGCAACTGAGCCAGTATTAATAGGAACCCATTTCTCTGAGTGTCAAATAGAAATAAGTCAATGAGAGATCAGGCCCGGTTTCTGATCAAGAACTGAATACAGTTCATTTAGAAAAATGAAAAGGCTTCCCACTGATGTGTTTGCAAACACTGAGCTTTAAAATAAACTGAGATATATTCCTAAAACAAGAGGAAAATACCTTAACGTAGTGAAAGTTTAAAAACTGTAACACTAGAGAATTAAAACTATTGTTAATTTCTTGAGATTTAAATTACCATAAAACTACTCAAAGAATACATTATAATTATTAATTACCAAAAATGAAACTTAAGAGAATTTACTAAATCCAGCAAAATTATTCTGACAGGTCACCTATCCTGTCAGAACTATGTGCATACATGAATTTTCTATACCGTATTGATCTAACATTTTTAATTGTAAGACAGCCGTATAAAACTGTGTGAGACCTGACCAGGCAGCTCGGTTGGTTGGATCATTGTTCCATGCACCAAAAGGCTGTAGGTTGGATTTCCAGTCAGGGCACCTCCTAGGTTGCAGGTTCCACCCCCCGGAGGGGCATGTATGGGAGGCAACTGACCAATGTTTCTCCTGTCAATGTTTCTCTCTCTCTCCTCGCTTCCTCTCTAAAACCAGTAAAAACACTATTTGGCATAAAGCCTCTTTTGTTTGAGCTGGTTTGAACTTACTAGTATATAAGTTGCCACTCACCAGCCTCTTGCTGGCTCCTGCATAGCTCCTATGTTGCGGGCTGCGTGGTGGGGAAGATGTATTTTTGCTGGGATGGCTCCTGTGTTTGCTCCTGCATTAGCAAGGGCCACTTTACTGGACTGCTTTGTCTAATGGCTCATGAGTGGCAATGGCTCCTTGGGCTACGATAAAGACTCTTATATACCCCCCAAAAATAAAATAAATAAATAAAATCAATAAAAACATACCCTTAGGTGAGAATAAAAAAAAAAAAAAAGGTATAATAGGCATTTCAATTTTGCTTAATTACTTTCATAATTACCTCTTTTCTGCATAAATCATATGCAAAAAAGTAAAATACTTTAAAACTAATCTCTGCTTATATTTTGTCTTGTTTAAGCTTCATTTTTTTAAAAAAATGCTAATTTTTTTAACTGAATACGTAATATAGTAGAAGTCCCTTCCCAACAGATTATGTTACCAAATGATGCCTTCAAAATCACTTTTAAATGCTGAAAAACTAACACAAGCTTTTATTCGAACAAAGCTTTTCCACCTTTATGGGCAGGGAGTCACCTATGGACTCCAGCTAGAGAGCAGATACTGATTCGGCAGCTCTGGAGTATCTGAGTCTGCATTGCTGACAAGTTCCCAGGTTCTCCTGCTACTGTTGGTTGGAGAACAGCACAGAAGCAGCAGGATCTACAGCAGTTATGGGTAAAGGCTTAACCAATATTGCTGCTACTTGCTAACATTTATTTTCATATAAAAAACATTAGTAAAAAATGTTCTCTTGCCCTGGATGGTGGCTCAATGGTGAGAGCATTGGCCTGTGGACCAAAGGGCCACAGTTTTAATTCCTGGTCAAGGATATGTATATGGGTTGTGGGTTCACTTCCTGGCCTGGTCGGGAGGCAGCTGGTTGATGTGTCTCTCACACATCAATGTTTCTCTCTCTTGCTCTCTTCCTACTCTTCCTTCCTACTCTCTAAAAAAAAAAAATCAATGGAAAAATAACCTTAGGTGAGTATTAAAAAAAGAAATGTTCTTCTGGTGGTCAATTAAAGTGACAATTTCTTAAGTATTAAAGACTGAACTATTAAAGATGTATGTTACTCACAAAATTATCAGAAGTTGGTGGTTTAGCTGTTCCATTGGAAACCGTTTTTGAGGTCCTTAATTTTATTCCTTCAGCTATAATAAAAAATGTTATAGAGACAAGTTTATAAAATTATAAAATATTTTCCTTCATAACATCATATTTAATAACTCATCAAGAAATAATACTATAATTTTTAAAAGAAGAATTAACAGTATTTTCTATTTGGTTGTGCTTCCTTTTTCTCCTCCTCTCTCTCCTCCTTTTTGTAAGTTTTCATCTCTTCTGAAATTTCCTTGTCTTCACCAAAGTATTCATGTAGATTTTTAAATATGTTTGTAATAATTACTTTTCAAATCTTTCTTGCTAAGTGTAATATCTAGGCCATCTCCTGATCTCTATTGACTGATGGTTCCATTAACTATGGGTCACAGTTTTCAGTTTTATCCCAAGTCTAATAATTCATCATTGCAAACTGGACACTGACAATGTAACATACAGACTCTGGGTTCTCTCATCTTCCTCGGGGAAGAGTTGCATTGCATTCTATTCAAATGACTGATTAGAGTATTATGGTAAAATTAACAAAATGCTATGTAGAAACTAAATAGAAATATGAAATTAGCACTAAAACCACAATCAGAAATGCTTTGGACACAACTGGGAAATTACAGATGTGCCTAATTTTAAAGAGCAAGAATAGATGACTCAAAAAAATTGAGAAATCACCAGTAAGATGAATATATACCAAATCATTTTTGTAAAAAGCAGTATACCTACCTTACTAGAGCAAATCAGTAACGAAGCTCAAACTACATTAATAATCTTGAAAATTTCATTACTGATTCCTCTTTTATGAGTATCTAGCATAATAGAAGTTTCTACAGATATAATTTAAAAAATATTTTATAAGAAAAAAAATGTATCTGACCTTACATCACAGGTAAAGATATCACTTTTTGTTAAAATATATACAATTATCACTCAGTAAGAAAACATCTCACTCACTTAAATTTTCAGATGTTACCATGTATTCTTCAACTTCATCATCCGAATCATCAATTAAGGGCATGAAGGCATACCTGTGTCAAAACAACAGTTTTACTAGTGTGTTTAAGGCTGTTCAATTTTCATCTTTTAGCTAAAGAGTCATTACACATAAAAACATCTACAATTTTTAAAGTTTCACATAAGTTAAAGCAAAAAATTAATTATTGCCAAAACCGGTTTGGCTTAGTGGATAGAGCATCAGCCTGCAGATTGAAAGGTCCCAGGTTCGATTCCAGTCAAGGGCATGTACCTTAGTTGCGGGCACATCCTCAGTGTGGGAAGTGCAAGAGGTAGCTGATCAATGATTCTCTCTCATCAATGCTTTTAACTCTCTATCCCTCTCTCTTCCTCTCTGTAAAAAATCAATTAAAAAATTAATTATTTTTACTATCAAATTAGGAAGGTTTTTATTGTGAAGTAATTGTGAGAGAGATCTGTCTGGAGAGCAGTTCTGCAACGTGCCATGTTCAGGGAGGGGACTCTTGTCCATGTCAGGTCTCCCTCCCTGCTCACACCGTTTAATTCATGCCCCACAAAAGAGAAACTGCTAATCTGACTGTGAAAATAAAACACACGAGTGAGCCACGTTTACTAGGTCCAACAGCATTCAGAAAACATTGCTGATAATAATGGCAAAAACCCTAAAAATAAAATGTTTAATATTCAGGGACTGTTTCCATAAATTATGCTACATTCATAACATGGAAGGCCATATAGCCATTAAAGGTAACATGGCAGAATGGTAGATCCACACCAGATAATGTGTATACGTTTTTTTGTTTTGTCTTTTTAAAGTATTACATATGTCTCCCTTTTCTCCTATTGACCCCTCCCTGACCACTCCCACCCCACAGTGTCCATGTCCATTGGTTATGCACAAATACAAGTCCTTTGGTTGACCTTTTACATTCCTCCCCTCCCCTGCCTTCCCTCTGAGGTTTGACAGTCTATTGGGTGCTTTTGCCTGCTTTTGCCTCTGGATCCATTTTTGTTCATAAGTCTATGCTGTTCATCATATTCCATATATGAGTGAGATCATGTGATATTTATCTTTCTCTGACTGGCTTATTTTGCTTAGCATAATGCTCTCCAGGTCCATCCATGCTGTTTTTTCTTTTTTACAGCAGCATAGTGCTCCACTGTATAGATGTACCAGTTTTTAATCCACTCATCTGCTGATGGGCACCTAGGCTGTTTCCAAATATTAGCTATTGTAAATTGTGCTGCTATGAGCATAGGGGTGCATGTCCTTTCTGATTGGTGTTTCTGATTTCTTGGGATATATTCTAGAAGTGGGATTACTGGGTCGAATGGGAATTCCACCCATTGAGGAAACTTCATACTGTTTTAATGTGGATATGTTTTAATAAGAAGGTGCAGAATAGTGTATACATATAAATATATATTACTGTTATTGTGTAATTTTAAAAAGAGACACTCTCCCCCACACACCACACACTGGTACCTACTTACACACTTTCCTCAGTGCTTTTCTTGGGGAACAGGAATGAGGTGGAAGAGGCGGGGCTCCCTGTCACATATTGTCTAAAGTGCAACGTTCTGAACTTAGCATTCAAGTCTTTGCCTTTCTCCAGTGTACACAGCATGAACCAAACTGCATGCCTTGATGACCTCCAAAGCATACCTGGTTTTCCCACTACCCCAGAAATGTTCTCTCCTTCCCTGCCCTGCTCCTTCCCTTATGACGAAACAGGAATGCTGCCTTTTGGAGTCTTCCTCACCTGCCTCCACCTGCCCCTGGACTCACCTGACATGCCTCTGATTTCACTGTCTTGCATCTGTGATGTGTGTCTCCCCACCTGACCATATACTCTTGACAAGCATGGACTACTCTCCCACAGTCTCTACAGACACATTAACATCACAGCAGTATCAACAAATGCTTGCCAAACCTGGCTATTTCTCTGTTAGGTACCTTTGATTATTTGCTGATGGTCTCCACAAAAACATTATTACCATAAGGATAATTGAAAAGAGGAAGCTCCAAAATGCTTCATCAACCCAGATTTCCATCCAATCCTAAAATAAGAACAATACAAACATAAAAAGTTAATTTTCTAATAAACTTAAACATATAGATTTTTTATTTGAATAGTGTGCAATGACAAGTCCTAATGAAATCTTTCCAACCAGTTAAGTCTTTCAAGTAAATAAGTACACATTTTTAAAGAAAACATAAACTAAGAAATGCTATTTTACAGAATTAACATTAATGGTTACTTTTGGCTTACAGCCAATCAGATGAATAAAACTCTAATATAAATTATATCTCATCGTTCATAAAAAGAATTAGTTTAAAGGCACTTCAGAGGTCGTTTTAATGTATTTTCTTTAAGAGAACAGATATGAGGTAGATTAATTGCAGAATTAGAATCAAATTGACAATGGCTGCAGTAGCCCCTCTTATCCACCGTTTTACTTTCTATGGTTTCATTACTTTGGTCAACTGCAGTCCTAAAATATTAAATGGCAAAGCCCAGAAATGAATAATTCAAAAGAAATTTAGAGAGAGAAAACATATTCACATAACTTTTATTACCGTATACTATTATAATTGTTCTATTTTATTTTTATTAATCCCTTACTGTGCCTAATTTATAAACTTTATCACAGATATATATATATATATATATATATATATATATATATATATATATATATATATCTATATGGAAAAAAAATAAAAAACATAGTACACTGTATATATAGGGTTTAGTACTATCCACAGTTTCAGTCCACTCCTTGGAATATATCCTCCTCAAGTAAGGTGGGGGGGGGGGGGAGAACACTGCTGTATTTTTGACAGTAGAATTTCTGATGCAAAAATCTCAATGCAGTACTTCTGCCAATAGATTGTTCTGCTTTTAATGAGACAGGAGATTTTATCATGATGTTTGAAATGTTTCTAAAGGGCTGTTGTTTAACATTATAAACATTCCCTTCCATAAAATTTTAGGATTAACAGAAAGATTTAGAAAACAAAGGTGAGGGAAGGAGAGAAAAGAAATTCCAGAAAGTCAGTCTCTGATCTCATTAACTCATCCCTAAGGCAACGGAAGTCCGGACTGTCCGAGGGCTGCTTGTAACTGTTCACACAGAACTAGAGAAAAGGTCCTAATCAAGACGCCCCCAAAAGAGGGCCTTTTAGGGTTTCAGTCTAAAAAATATCTCCCAACTCAAGAACTCATGGCAAGCATCTCCTGAGTGTTCATAATGGGTGTATCGCCTTAAAAACACATCAGGCTGAAGGTTTACAATCCCATTAGATATGGAACAGCCCAAGTTCATGGTGTGCAGGAAAAAAAGAATTTCCTGCTACCTTAAATTATAAATGAGAGAATTATCTTTCCGAATCTATGAAAGGAAGTTGAGAAAAGGGCATAACTAGAAAAGCAGATTTAGGAGAAACTTTCGGATTTATTGGAGGAGGCCTACATTTTTATAATTCTATATAAAATATTTCAAGGTAAACAGAAAATCTCCCCTGCAATTACCTCGATTTACAGACTAAATTCTTCAAAAGTACACACAAAAAAATAGTATAATTAAAAACAAAATCTATTTAGATTGTACTTACTGATCGACATTTTGCAAATCTAAATGTCATAGTTGTCCACACCATAAACACGACAGAAGCTGAAACACACACAAAAAAGTCAGCTTTGCAGGAAATGTAATCCTGAAATAATGTTATAATTAGAAAAGTTCATTACTTACCCAGCACAGCAAAGATCAGAGTATTTGTAAAGTGCCTGTATAAAGAAAATTTCACCATGTTCTTTCTTAGCCTCAGAGTCTTCATAGTTTGTGCTGAACTTATAAAAATGTGAACAAGTTAAGGAAAAACATTTTAAAATATAACAAACTAAAATCAAAATAAGAATCTTTTACATTTCCAAAACTGGTACTGCTGAATACAGTTCCATTAACTTAAAGGTAATAGAAACACAGAAAACTTAATTTTAGCCGGTGCTGTATAATCATGTTACTGATTTATCGCAGATTTTGCTTTAAAATCCGCTTCTGAAAGACCCTGGAGGAAAACACACAAGCAAGAAGCCCCATGACGTCCTCCTCAGGTCCCAACCCACAGGCCGGAGCGGCGCAGGGCCTGCCAGCCCCTCAGGCAGGCTCCCTGCAGGTCCTGGGATTTCCCACTTGGCTTGTGCTTTTCTCTTTCTCTCTAGTCAATTCTCTGACTGTAATTAAGAAATCGTATCATTTAGCAGTTCCATTTTATCAATTAAAAATTGAAACATGTCAAATAAAACAAATCTGGACTTAGGTAAGGACAGACTTCTTTCCAAAGACAATTGCAGAAGAAAGAATGTTCATTGTAAGATCTTTAGAAGTCCCAACGGTCACACAGGAGAGGGCTCTGCTCTTCCAGGGAGGAGGAAACGGGACTAGAGAGCTCAGGTGTGGGGCAGGGGGTGGCATGATGGGACAGTGCATCAGGGAACGACTTTCCTGGGGTCTGCAGGTTTCCGGGGGGGGGGGGGGGGGGGGGGGTTTCCCAGAGGCCTTGGGGGACGAAAGCTCAGGACCTGGGGGGAGGTGACAGCTGTGTGGTCCACATCGGTCAGCCGGTACATAGGTCTGAGTATGGCCTTGGCACAGGTAAGCCCGGGGGCGTGGGAATCCCATCTAAGCCTTACAAAGGAGAAGGGGGTTCTTTGTAGTAGCCTCTTCCCAGAGTGGGAGGGCGGGGCTTTCCTCACAGCAGTGGTTCACCAGGAGCTCAGGCTCCTGTGACGTTCACACTCTCAGGTGTGAAGCACAGAAAGGCCTCTGCACAGGCTCCTCAGCAGCGAGGCTGAGAGGCAGCCAGTCTGGCTGTGCATGGGAGCTGCGTCTCTGGAGCTCAACACCAGCTGTTCATGAACCACACACAGAAATTACAGAGCTGAGCAAAAGAATGCAAGTGGAAAATTTTCCATTTATGCCTATTTCAAATTCCAAATACTCACTAATCAAAAACTTCTTTTTAAAAGCAGCTAAAACCACCAAAACTGATTTTCTAACTGAGCAAAAAGTTGCAAAAGATCAATGTCTAAAATCACACAATCCAAACAATTAAGCTACTCTCAGAATTTATAAAAATGCAAATGTGCTGTATTCCTTAACCAGTTAACTGCCACGATATTTTGCATTTAATTTAAAAAGTTCCACCGCTTGCATCTATCGACGCTTACGGCGTACAGATGGTTAAACGTTATCAAGACAAATACTTTTTAGAGATTCTCGACTAAAACCAATTTTCTGTGTCATTTAATAACTAAAAAGTGCTGCTAAAAGCCAAGGAATAAAGAGATCAAAGGCAAATTCAGAACTGCCTACGCCTGCACTTACCAAAACACTGCTAATGGAGGGAAGCGTAACGTTCCTCACATTAGAGCCAAGGGTTAGGACAGTGGACGGTGCACCATCCGGAGGAGCAGCCGCGGGACCCGCAGGAAAGGATATCCACCAGCACAAGCCAGAGTCAAGAAGAGACAGAGGGAGGCTGGCCAGAAGCACAAGATCAGAGTCATTGGCCTGCAGCAAAACAGCAAAAAACAAAACAAAACGAGCAGAAAACACAGGAGGAGAGTCATGAGAAAGCCTGTGGCTTTAAAATTTTTAGGCTATTTCTGCTATCACTTCAGAGTTAGATTTGTACCAGATTAGCAGCAATGAATTCACCAAAAGCAAAGGAAGCAAGGGTCCTTATGCAAGCACTCAAGTCTCTAGGCAGCCCTGCTTCTTTGCTCGTCATTTGTATCATATGGGAAATCCACTCTCTTTTTGTACAGAGAAAGCAGACCTTCAGTAATAAAAATTACCAAACAGACCTAGCCAGTCTGGCTCAGTGGATAGAGTGTTGGCCTGTGGACTGAAGGGTTCCGGGTTCGATTCCGGGCAAGGGCACCTATCTCGGAGGCAGGATCCTTCCAGGTCAGGACTCGTGCAGGAGGCAACCAATCGATGTGTTTCTCTCACACCAGTATTTCTCTCTGTCCTCTCTCTCTCCTACCCTCTTTAAAAATCAATAGAATAATATCGTCAGATGAGGACTAAAAAAAAAAAAAAATCATCGAACAGCAACCTAAAAGCAAGCACCTTCTTTTAGGTAAATTTCCTTCTCGCACCATGAAACATTTACAACTCATGGATTTCTTCATGACTTTTATCTCACTTTTTATTAACATTATGCCTCACTAATCTTTCACCATGTTTTCCTTATTTCCTCACCCCAATTTGGCTTCTTCTGTGATGGAACAACCCAAAGCAAAGCTGTCCATAAAGGCGAGAAATTACCCTCATTCAAATCCAGACGGAATTAGAGCCTCAGAGCTGCAGTCCTGCCTCTCCCCCTCCCAGGGTGCGCGCTGCCCGCCTTTCCTAGGCCAGGTGAGAGGCCCCTGGGGTCCCGCCTCCCCCCCTCCAGGAATGTCCGCACCGACTGCCCCTCTCCTAGGGCAGGCGAGCTTCCTGCAGTGACGCACCGGCCAGAACAGGACCTGCAGCCCTAGGATCACATGCAGAACAGAGGAATGTCCTTTTACCTTTTCAACAACCAAATGTCTTCAAATGTGTTTTAATATGAAAATTCCTACTAAGATGTTTATTCCACTCTCTGACTAGTAGCTCTAGACAGAAGTAGAATACGATTTTCAATCAAGTTCCGTCAGAAACAACTCTTTAAATCTCAAGTACTATTTCTTAACGGGACACCCTTAGACACTAGGGGACCCATGACTATAACCTGGAAGGACTGTGAATGCCCGCTGTGTGGGTGGGAGCACACCTAACCCTGTGCAGAGGCTCCAGGCCTCTTCCCACTTTCAAAGGCATCTGATCCCAGGACTCAAGCAAGACTGAGGACCCCTGCTTTAGAGAATAAGGCTAATAAAGTTAACGTTTTGTTTTCTTGTAACTTGGAAGCAAACTGAGAATTCACAAAGAACGGGCAGACCTGGCCTAGAAGGACCCCCGGAGGGGCTGGGAAAGCCTCAGGGCACATGGCAGGCCCAGCTGCTCCCTGGAAAGCCTCAGGGCACATGGCAGGCCCAGCTGCTCCCTGGAGAAAGACGGGGCTGCCCCGCCACCTTCCCCTGAACACAAAGGTGAGAAAATGAAAAGAAATACAAGGAAGACAAAGTAGCCTTTCATGTTAAAAGCTAAAACACAAGTATCAAAGACAATGGGAGACAAAAAAAAAAAAAAAAAAAAAAAACTTGGTAAAAATGAAACATCTATAGGAGAGTTTCAGAAAGAACATAAATGCCAAAGGAAGAAATGGCAACATGGCCTCAGCCACCTAAACAAGACGCGTAGGAAAACAGCGCTCTGGTCCTGCAGATCCTTGCCTTCTGCTCTGGCCAGGCCGTAGCTCCTCCAGAATTCTCCATTTCCGTGAGTACACGTGCAAGGCCCCTCTGGACAGGAAACACATGGGGGTACCCAGGCTCCAATGAGTCCTGAATCAGGAATCAACTCACACTGCCCTCAGACTTCTGCTGTACTACGTCTTCTGTCCGCCCCCTCAGCCAAACCTGCTCTCCTGCTGTCCTACTGCAACCTCCTGCCGCCTTGGGAATCCCTCTCTGCGCCTCTGAACTCTAGACTAGCCCTGTAACCGAAGCTCTCCCAACCTCCACTCCCTACCAACTCCTGGTTCTCCCACCTCCCTCTACGTGGTGCTCCTCCTGCGCACAGTCCGTCCACCGGGCCTCTGGCTCCTCTCCTCTCGCTGTTCTGTGTTCTCCTTGGGCCACTTCCACCCTGCGACCTTCTCTTGAACAAAGGCGATCTCCACCTTCACCACCAGTTCTGACTCCTCTTGCAAACCTAGGCTGGGATTTCCAACTCTTTCTCATTCTTATTCTCCAGCAGCTCAAACCTCATCCACACGGCCCCTTCTCCAAGGCACCACCTTGAGAATGGCAACTCTGCCCCAGCTCCCCAACCAAACAAGACTTGGGGGACTTCTCTGGAGCCTTCTCCTTTTCTGCCACCATTTCTAGCAACTCTATCATGTGGAGTTTTTCTTTGTTTCCTCTGCCCTCACCACTGACTACGTAACATTTTAAGGAAATATAATAAATGACTTCTTACTAGACTTCCTGTCTCTTGCCTCTCATTTTTCAAATCATCTTTTTAGGTCATCCTTGAGTTCTAACACACATTTCATGTTTTTCCCCTGTGAGCTTCGATTCCCTCTTCTTTCTACCTTCAGAAGGAACTCCCATTGCTTGAGCAGGTCATTCTACCCTTCCCTCTGCCCCGCTTTCCATGGCTCCTACACTGCTACCCACAGGCAGCTACTCTGGGGCACTCTGCCACTGTCCATATATTTCATGCTTCCAACTACGTGTTCCCCTCAATTCTTCCCAAAATGCCTCTTCCCTGTTTCTTTTCCTTCTAAACCTATTTGTCCTTCCAGTCTCAATGTAAAAGTCATCATCTCTACAAAGTCTTTCCTGCTTTCAAGCTAGAATTACCTTCTTTCGTTCTTCTGTTTGCATGACACCTTCCTAAAATGGTCAAGACTATTGCTGTATTCCTCGTAGTTATTTTTGTCTCTTCTACCTGACCATGGATTCATTAAGCACAGAGACACTACCTTTTTCTTCCAGGCCTCCTCAGTATGGGGTACACAGTAAGTACTTAAGTTTGCTGAACTAAATAGAAAAAAACAAAGATATTCCTTTTTGGAGAGTTGTTACTTTTTCCACCTTCAACTAAATTCCTGTGTTGAGGTAACAATAATGTAAAACTATATTTCTTTCTATTATTAATAATACAAATTAAAGTAATATGATTTTAATGCTATAATAAACTATTTAGAAGGACAGAGTAAAGGATATGAACCATACAAAAATGGTGTCGATAACTGCTAAAATAACACCAAAAGGAACAGCTAAATGGTTAGAATCCTGAAAGATAAAAATGGGGAAAAAACCGAAAGTAAAAGTTTCATTAAATTACAGGAACTACCTGATTTAAAAAAACAAAACAAAGCACAACAATTCTGCTTAGAGCATCGCTTTATAAAAGCCACATAAAAGATTTTTACCTCCCAACAGAACTGCCTTTAAGCACATGAAGATGATCTGTTTTGTCACCAACTTGTTTGAGGAAAAGGTCTAACAAAACTATGGAATGGCAAACAGAGATACATGTCCCCAATCCCACAAGGTTAACCTCCCCTCTCCACACCAAACCTGCAGCCACAGCTACTGGGAAACAGACCCTTCTCTCTCCTACTGAATGCAAAGGATGTGGAGAAAGTAAAATAAGGAAAAGGAACTGAGTGGAAGGGGAAAACAAATCACTGATTAGCCACTTACTCTAATCAAGAGCTGACAGAGAAGTGTATGTAAATCACATATCTACAATGTTGACTATGTAAAATTTCAGGGAAATATTACATATATACTGTATCTATTATACATTGGAATATCTTTTTTCCCCTATAGAGATTTAGTTTCCCGAAAGTGATATATAAATGCAGAGTTCTTCATTGTTCTTCATAAAGGTAAAAATAAATATCCCCTTCAAGAATCAAAGATGAAAACGGCAGGGGCACCTAACACAGAATGCAGACTATCAAGACAACAGAAAGAAGAATGAGGCTTAACATTATGGGACAAGAGTCCTGTTTTAAGTGTCTGAGCAAACATATAACTTGAACTTAGACAATATATGAATAAACCGCTCTGCGCAGTAACCTGATTTATACACCTAAGCCAACACAGTGAGGCAAAAGTTACAAGGCTCTTTAAATCAGGCACAAAATAACTTTAATTACTTAGTCGTCAGTTATATTAAGAAAAACTGAGAACTAAAAATCTAAGGCTCATCATAGACATAACTATTCTGACTACTCTCGAGAGGAAAGCATTGCTGCCGCAGCACCAGCCGTTCCCTTGAACACTACCTGCTCCTGTCTCTTCAAAAGTCCTGTCTGCTGAATCCCCAAAATAGCGCTTCTACAGCGTCAGAGAAAACTTACCACCAAATGGGACTTAACAGTGAGATATACAGTATAGTCTCAATGCATATGGGCTACAACAGACTTTCTCCTGACTTGATACACGTTTAAGCCAAGGTGTAAGGAAGAAACGAATGTGTACGGACTGAACGACAGAGACAAACGTTCTTTAAAGGATTAACTATGAATGTCTTTGAGATGCAGCCAGTCCCACATCGTTTTAGGAAGTGCTCTGCCTTGCCTTTTACTTTCAAGGAAAATATTCCATAGAAAATAAAGCTCAAATTGGGCCTTTTTCATAAATTTCCTATCTTTGAACATTCAGCCCTAGCTGGTTTGGCTCAGTCAGCCTGCGGACTTAAGGGTTCTGGTTTGATTCTGGTTAAGGACACATGCTCGGGTTGCAGGCTTGATCCCCAGTGGAGGACGTGCAGGAGACAGCTGATCAATGATTCTCTCTCATCATTAATGTTTCTATCTCTCTTCCCTTTCCCTTCCTCTCTGAAATCAATAAAAGGTATATTTTTAAAAAAATTCATCTGGGGAGATAGAAAGTCATAGCAAAAACAAAAGGTGGTAGTGAATTACGCAGTTTTTACCCCAACAACTCTCATCACGCCTTCGACTGCTGCAAAGATGAAGTAGAGGAGCCCCAGTCCAATCACCCGGTGCATGACTGTCCCTAAGCGAGGCCTGGAACGAGGAGGAGAAAAGGGGAAAAAGGCAAACAAACAAACAAACCATTGGTAAGTTGGATGCATCTGAGAACAGTCACTGCCCCCATTTCAATACCAGAGAAGCGCCCGCCTAACCAGGTCAGCATTATTCCACCCCGAGGTACTTTGTTATAGGAAACACCACATTCCCTGGGAACAAGGCAGCAACAGGCTCAGAAAACAAGCCTCCTTCTCTGGCACTGGAAGCAGCACAGGGTTTTGCTGCCGAGATGGCAGCATTTGATGCACATTATCACCCAGCCCAGGCGTGATGTCACACAAGAGCAGATGGAAGAAACCTGGGAAGCTGAAGGGCAACTCCTGAGTGTCACTGGCAGAAACCGTAACTCTTTTACTGACATTAATTAAAAACTGTTCAGGGATATGCTTTGGTAGAGATAATCTGCTGATTTCTGGCTTGGGCAGAGAAAAAGCAAGGTATTCAGAGATCAAATTCTCTCAATATCTGAAACCAGAATGCTAAGACGTTAGTTTTTATTCTTTCAATGCAAAAGAACTAAAATAACAATCTGAGTCTTTCAAAATATAAGTGAATTAGGAAAATGCAAAGATGGTGATTTCTACAATTAATAATGTGAAAATAGAACTGAAATTTCATGACATTTGCAAGTCAGAATTTATTAGCTCAACTCACCCTCTTCTCAGAAAAAATGATTTTGAAAAAATATTTAAATTTGTCTTTCTAAAACAATTATCTAAGTAAAAATTAATCTAGCACCCACAGCTCATCTGTAAGACTAGCTATGTAATTTAGGTCCTCTGAGCTCTGACTCACAACAGCCAGCTAAGAGAAACCCTCCAACAGCCGGAGTGTTAGGCCTCACTCCGCGAGAGCTGACACCACAGGCTGACGTGAAGGAATGCGCTCACCAAGGGCTATGCCCGTACACACAGCTCAGCCTCCTGTTCCCTGGAAGCAACCCACTCCACACCGAGGCACCTGATGTTCATAATGAGAGCAAGGAGATACCTGAGATGCAACCAGAGGATTCTGTGCTCTGTATGCTGTATCAAGCCCCCAGCCTCAAAGCAAAGCATCTGAGAAGGAACCTCAATAAAAGCCCAATGAAAAGAAGCTCTCCTGGCTAAAATCTCGCTAAGTATACCGATCCTGAGCTCACACACATGCACGTGCACATTCAGTGCTCTTTACTGAATGACGTGTGCCAGGGGTGGCACTGGGGCCTCAGGGTACACAGGACAAAAAACAGGAAAACTCCTATTCCACTCCTGTCAGGGGAGGCAACAATGCTAACACATGCATCGAGTGGTCTTGTATAGAGGGTGGGGCTCTCACGGAGGGTGGGTGCGGCGTTAGGAATCCTAGCAGGGCTGCCTTCCTGGGGAGATGACAGAGGAATAGAGACTGAGGAAACGGGGGGGGGGGGGGGGGGGCACACCATGCCTGGGTCTGGGGAAGAGGCCCTCCAGTGAAAGGAAGTGGTTTTTTTTTTAAGGAACAGCAACAGCAAGACAGCCAGAGGACTGAGCAATGTGCAAGAGGGAGAAGGCAGGAGAGGGGGCAGCCATCAGAAAAGCCACAGGAGGAATTTAGGTTTTATAAGGAAAATGAGCAGAAAATACTAGCAATGAGACCTGAATTACATTTTGAAAGGACTGCCTTAGCTACAGCTGTCTGAACAGACTGACAGGAGACCATGTCAGAGGCAGGGAAACCAGGAAAAGGGCCCAAGAGGTTTGCAAGATGTCAGTGCCCTGCAGGATCAGGAATGTACAGCTAAAAGGTAGGTGACATGTGACAGGGGAGGGCCAGCGGAAGGTGAGGACCAAAGGCCAGAGGCCGCACCAGGATCAAAGAGTGACTGGAACTGACACATCAGAAAAAGTGAACAGGAGAGAGGCAGTGAGAGCTGAAGAGTGGATTGTTTAAAACTCTGATGATGATAAGGATTCAGGTACACAGAGTCATAAAATCTTGAATCCCAGCAGAGGTGAGGTGAAGGGCAAGACAGCAGAGGTGATGAGGGGAGATCAGGTTACTAACGCACAGGGAATTCTGGTGGAGACAGGGAGCAAGGGCTCAGCCAGCTAAGGGATGAGAGAAGAAACCTGGACAGTGACAGGGGCCACAGCAAAAGATGGGGCAGGTGGTCCAGCCTGAAGGCCTGAGCTCCAGGAGTCAGCGGGTTTTAGGGGAGAGAGAAGAATGGTCTGAAGATGAGAAAGAGGAGAAGCTCTTTCACATTCAGGCCCCTAGACTCACAGGGATGAGAGGAAAGACCTACTTGAGAGGGTTGGGAAGAAGCGGCTGCTGAGGGGTCAGGATTTCAGTCAGAAATCTTGCTGATTTGGTGGTGAGCCTTCTCTTAAGATGACCAAATATAGTAATAAAAGCGTAACTATGCTGTTTAGAAAATGGATTGCACTTCAAGGACTATTTAAAATTTTCCATATCCTTCAGTTGATTATTCCCTGAACTATAAACAAACAAACAAACAAACAAAACTACCAATTCTAACTCGGGACCTTGATTTTGAAACCCTAACAAAGTGCTCGGCCATTCCTGGGGAACGTGTTCTTGCAGAGGCTTCCCTATGGGGTTTGTGCAATGATACCGAGAGGTGTCCAGCCTCGCAGGATCACAGTGGGGGTGGCTAGTTGCAGGACTACAGACGCCATGACTTTCCAGCATAGCGGGACTTACTTCACGATGCCGTATCCCAAGCTCATGATGATCACCAGGAGGCGGGCCAGTGTCCTCTTGATGGCAGATATCAACTCCGCAAATATCAGCAAACCTTGGGCTGAGGAGAAGAAAGCAGCTCACTCTGTGTACGTCTGGAGGCCTGCCACCAATTCTAAACATGTAGCACATACAGTGACATCTGACTTCAGGTGGATTAGCCATATTGGATCTCCAAGGACTAACTCAACTGATGTTGGAAACATCAGTGAAGGGGATTCACCGCCAGCTGATGAATTCTCCTTATCAGCTTTGCTGGGCACAGCTTTCTTGTACCAGCATGAAATCGTGTGCCTGAACTTTCCTCCATGGCCAATCTCCCCCTTAGTCCCTTACAGTCTTGTCTCAGGATGCCTTCATCTTTATTCACATGTGGCTACAACAGTAACAGATACCATGGTCCCTGCCTCAAGGAGCCCGTACTCTGGTTAGGACAAGTCAACAGATGAAACCCAGCCTGGTAAGTGACAGAGGCAACACAGTCTCCTGGATTGTGAGGAAAGCCAAGCTAACCCACTCATGGGGAGGAGCATGTGAATCCAGGTAAGTTTCTCAGTGGAAGCCACATCTAAATCAGGATCTGAAGGCCCAGCAAAGTAAACTACCTGAGAGAGTCAGAAGAAGCAAAAGAATGGCACATCCAAAGGTAGAGAGGAGACAAGAAAAAAAGCTAACAGTGCTCTGAGAAGGGAAATTCAGCATGTCTGCAACAGAGCATAGTAAGGAGGTGCCAAGGAAATAGGCCGGACAGGAAATAGCAGTCACCAGGCTGCAGGCCATGTTCTGAATCTCAACCTGAAGCTAAGGGCAGGGTGTAATCAATAGTAAACGAGGGAGTAAAAAAGAAACCAGTAAACTATAGCCCTAGGCCAGATCTGCCCTTAGGCCTGTTTTTATAAATAAAGTTTTATTGGAACGCTCACTTGTTTGTGGCTGAGCAGCTGCAACAGAGACTGTATGGCCTGCAAAGCCTAAAATAGTTACTATACGGCAGAAATAGTTTGGTGACCCTTGAAATAAAATGGACAGCTTTATTTTACTTTGTAAATACAGGATTGCTGTACTTGATGGCTTAAAACTGGACTGCAAGAGAGGAAACGCTTGGGGCTATTCCAGAAGTCCAGGAAAGAAAGCTGGCAGTGCAGATGCAGAGAATTAGAAACGAGAATTAGAGAATCCACCTCATTTCAGCTCCTTTCTCCACCTTGTCCACAAGAAATCACAAGAGACCTGTCAAATACCTTGAAGAGGTACAGATATACGCAGTTTACTATTTGTTTTCCATGACCAATCTAGAAGCACAAAGGAAGGAAGTCAACCTGATATGACCCATTCTTAATGTTAAAACCCACCTTGGGTCTTAACAATCACTGCTCACACCCCTTTAAAGTCTCTTCTTCCAGGATCAATGTGAGCAAGACAGCATCAGTAACAGAATTCCCATCCGGGAAACCACACCTCAGCCCCTGCTCAGCCTCCTGGCACTCTCCTCTCCACACGACTCAACACTGACAGCAGTATGGGGTCTGTCTCCCAAGCCCTGCTGGTGCCATCCCAGACAGAGGGCTTGAGGACAGCAAATAGGGCACAGGCAATGGCTGCCCCTACCGAAGTCCACTCCACGCTGACCCTCACAGGTAAGAGATGACCACCTGCCTCCTCCAACATTCAGGAACACTTCAATCCCAGCCATCAGCAGCAGCCCCATCCTTCCTTCCTTATTTAGTTCGAGACACAAAAAATGTCACTAAACTCCGTGTGGAGTAATAGCACCTCTCATGTGCCTCTCTGGATGCTGTCCTCTTTTTATTCTTTTGTACAAGTTCTTTTAAACTTTTTATTTGGGGAAATGACAATCATTCCCTAGCACAGAGAGACAGTAAATGAAATCACATGAAATCAGCTTGAGTAATTATCAGCATTATGCCTAATTTGTTTTATCTGTATTCCAACTGTTTTTTCTCTCTTAGAGGATTTTAAATAACTACTAGTAGAGACACAAGCACGCTCTTTGACAATCTGAGCCAAGCTCATCCTCACACCTCAGAAGCATGTTCCTAAGCGTGGTCAGCCCTTCTGAGTTCTCTCCCTTCAAAGGCTCGGCAACTGAATGAACTGTTCCTTGACTTCTCTGACTTTCTGACATCTACCTTCTAGAAGTCTGGGCAAACACTGTGGATGCCCAAGCACATGCCCCCCCTGCTTTGCACATAAACTTCACATTGAGATTTCTGCCTGAGAAGAGGCAGAATAATGCAAGAAGACTGTAGGCACCACTGATTTTACTCCCAAGGGGCAAATATTCTTTTCTTTTCTTTTCTTTCTTTCTTTTCTTTTTTTTTTTTTTTGAGGAGAAAGAAGTACAGGGCAAGAGGGAAACAGATAAATATGATACAAAACTGACAGTACTCAAAGCTCCCCAGCCAGACACTGTGTGGTTTTAATCCAGTCAAGGTGGCTGGCCATAAGGGAAAGAGATTTTCTTCTTCCATGGAGGAAAGGGAGGGAAAGTCAACAAGAAGAAAAATAGGGGGAGAAACCAAGATGGCAGCATAGGTAAACACCTAAATTGCTGCCTTGCACAACAATTTCAAAACTACAACTAAAAGACAGAATGGACATCATCCAGAACCATAGGAAAGCTGGCTGAATGGAAATTCTACAAACAGAAGAGGAAAGCTCACGGAGAATCAGAGGAGCTGCAAAGGGCTGAGGTACGGAGACACATGCGCAGAGAGGAAGGGCGCTGAGTGCCTGGCTGGTGTTCTCTGGTGGGAGAGGGAAGGAAGCCCTGACTTCACTGAACCGTAGTTCCAAATACACTAAACCCTAGTTCTGGGCGAAACCCCATGACCCAGGCTCATAAGGGGAAGTCTGGACTGTCAGGTAGTAACAGTTCATTCAGTCGCTGATCCTTGGAAGGAAGAGAGCTCAGAAGGGTTGACCGCGCTCAGGGACATGCTTCTGAGGAAAAGGCACATGGAGACTCAGAGACTCGGGGAAGCTGCAGCAGGCAGGGGTCTGGAGGCTTGCGGTGTGCTAGCGAGTGCACACAGAGAAGACTGATTGTTGAGGTTGTTGCTAGCTCTCCCCAGCAGAAGGGAGTCAGAAGCTCCTGACTGCACTGAACCCCAGTTCCAAATGCACTGAACCCAAGTTCTAAGCAAGCCTGAGGGAATCTGACTGTCAGGCAGAAACTCAGGGGAGCCAAAGAAGGCAGAGGTATGGAAGCATGAGTGCAAGGGCAGGGCTGATGGGAAGCCAAGACTGTCTTCTCAGCCCTGAGACTCCGCCCCATCCAAGCTGAGCACAGAGGCTTTTGAAATTTTACAAGTCTGGTCCTATAAGGCTGTCTCCAGCACAGGTCTCCTGGCATAAACACAGCTGATACACATAGCCAAACACAGCTGATACACACAATCAATTCCTCCCAGTAATACCAATAACAATCAAGACTTAACTCCAACAAGGCTGTATACACACACCACAAAGGGGTGCACCAAGAGTGTCTACCTCAGATAAGTGGGGAGGCTGACCCACTGGGTCATATAGGAAACCTAGCACACAAAGTTACCCTACCAACTCAGGGAAGCAGTGAAAATGTGGAGACAAAGTAACAGATCACAAACGAAAGTGATGGAAGAAAAAAAACGACTGATATAATTCAAAACCATGATTATAAGGTTTTTCAAGAATTTCCCAGAAAAGGACAATAAATTTAGTGAGACCCTAGAGGATATGAAAAAGGAATAACTAGAAATTAAACATACACTGGCTGAAATAAAAAATATTATACAGAGACCCAACAGCAGATCAGAGGAACAGAAGAACCAAGTCAAAGATTTAAAAAAAACACTCAACAGGAAAAGAAAAAAGAAAAAATAATCCAAAAAGTTGAAGATAGTGTAAGAAGCCTCTGGGACAACTTCAAGCGTACCAACATTAGGATTATGTGGGTGCCAGAAGAAGAGAGAGCAAGATACTGAAAACCTATTTGAAGAAACAATGACTGAAAACTTCCCCCACTTGGTGAAAGAAATAGATTTACAAGTTCAGGAAGCACAGAGTTTGATTCCCAAACAAAAGGAAATCAAAAGAGAACCACACCAAGACACATCATAATTAAAATGCCAAGAGCAAAAGACAAAGAGAAAATATTAAAAGCAGCAATAGAAAAACAGTTAATTACCTACAAGGGAGCACCCATACAATTGTCAGCTGATTTCTCAACAGAAACTATGCAGGCCAGACAGAAGTGGCAGGAAATATTCAAAGTGATGAATAGCGAGAACCTCCAACCAAGATTACTCTACCCAGCAAAGCTATCATTCAGAATTGAATGTCAGATAAAGAGCTTCACAGATAAGAAAAAACGAAAGGAGTTCATCACCACCAAACAAGGATTATATGAAATGCTGAAAGGTATTCTTTAAGAAAAGGAAGGAAAAAGTAAAGATAAAAATGATGAACAACAAATACATATCTATTAACAAGTAAACCCAAAAATCAAGTGAATTAAAAATCTGAGGAACAAAATAAATCGGTGAATATAATAGAATCAGGGGCATAGGAAGGGAATGGACTGATGATTCTCAGGGGAAAAGGGGTATGAAGGGTGCAAGAAGAGACTGGACAAAAATTGTACACTACGGATGAGGACAGTGGTGTGGAGGTAAGGGCAAAGAGTGGGGTGGGAACCGGGTGGATGGGAGCTATGGGGGAAAAGGAGAAACTATTGTAATAATCTGAACAATAAAGATTTATTAAATCAAAAACTAATAAATAAATAAAGAAGAAGAAAAATAAAAAATGAAGACGACACACATGCTGGCCCAGATCAGAGTTACACTCCTGGTCTCTCCTGAGCCTCCCTCCTCTTCACCTATAACGTGGCTGTTCTCAAAGCTGGGCTCATACACCGAGGCCCCGGAGATCGTACTGTGTTTTTGGGAAAAGTCACAACTTACTTGATAGCCCAGTGCTGTTGATGTTTTGGTATTCAGCATAAAAAAGTGCTTTTTCAAGCATTCCCAGGAATATGACAGCTGCAATCCAGAACTGAATTCTTAATATGTCTTTCCAATAACAAGCAGACCATATCAGCCAGAGCAAGCCATATAAAATGTAGACAATGCACATCACCATGTAAAACTGTAGGGAAAGAAGCAACTGTAAGCACCTAAGCCTTATTGTCATTTGAAAATCAGTATTTCTCATTCAACTATAAAATAAATATTATCCTTTATTTTCCAGTCACTCTGGACAGAGAGGGCATGTCAGGACACTATCTACTAAGGCAGTGTTTCCCAAACTTTTGACATGTGTGTACCCCTTCTATAATTTTCGTAACGCTGAGTACCCCTCGTACTCATGAGAATGTAGAATTAGGCGCAGCTAAGCACGGTGCAGTGCATATCCCCACCAAACTCCGGTGCAACGCATACCCCCACCAAACTCTTCCCATACCCCTGGGGGTACGTGTACCACACTTTGGGAAACACTGTACTAAAGGATTACCATCACTGAAATCTTAGAATTTTTAATTTTCCAATTAGGATACAATTTTTTTTTTAAATGGTGAAACATACTCACAATCATGAGAGGCCAATCTGATGCAGAGAGATATCCTTTCGGCCCCATCATAGAAAGAGAAACTGGTGAAAGTAAGGGTGGGGATAAAGAAAGTAAACAGTTAAATTAACAGTTTTCTCTTAAGTTTTAAATGTAAGCTCATTCCCCAGGCAACTTCAAAAATACAAAGCAAGCTGACATGCTGAATCTTTACCTAGCACACACAGACTGGACAGTTGCTGGTTATATAAGGTGACCTTATGAAGAAACCTTCACTAGTCACACTCGGTGGTAAAGCCTGGGCCAAATCTCACCTCATGCAGAGAGCAGAGTTGCACTGGCTATGGTCTGGCCCCTGCTGAGTAACCAACCTCCTGAGGACTCTGTCTCCCTTCATTACCTGGGATGAACGACTGACCTCAAGAACCTAGTCTGGGTTGGCGTCTAAGACAGTGAGAATAAACACAGTGTCCAGAACCATACAGAACTCGCTGGACTTGGCAATTGCTGCAGTTTCTAACTAGCAGGGCCTGAACCCTGCCTCTAGCACCTGGAAGGATCAGGTCCAGCGAGATAGCAGAATGGCATCAAGATCCTTGCTTGCTCTATGTGGCCTGGCCTGGCCCACATATCACCTCCGGAAGGAGGCCCCACTTCACATTCTTCCCGATCAGCCCCTGCACCGGCTTCCCCAAGGGTCATTAGCTTCCCCCACGAGACACCAGCCTTGTGCTTCTCTGCAGTGATGCCTGTTCACCCCACTGCTTTCTGCCCCTCCCCCGCACTGGACGCCTCTCAGAGACAGAGCCTGGCTTCCGCTCTGTGTCCCCAGTGGATGAGGCAGAGCAGAATGCAAATCCTCAGGATGCTGACAGGCTGTTGGCTACTGTCAGCCCAGCAGGTGCCGCTCTGGAAAATGACAGCAAAAGCAATTCCAGGGCGTGTGAAGGCCTTCATTCCCTTGAAAACTGCTTATTGTGAGGATGCTCTTTCTCTGGGCAGGGAGAACTACGGCTTAATGAGCCATAGAAGGGCTAGCTTGTGGGGGAGGGGGCTCACAGACCTCAGAAGCCACAGTTGCCAGATATGCTACTTCTACTCTAAGCTATAAACTAATGTTTTAAAAAAACTTTTCAAAGAACAATAATTTTCAAACCCTGATGATGGCCATTTTCAACAAGCAGAATATAATCTACTTCAAATACAATTAAGATGTTGCCTGCCCGTTTTTTTTTTTTTTTTTTTTTTTTTTTTACATCTGTAATAATGGTTTTCTATCACACCATTAAGTTTAAAATTATTTAACTTAATTTAAAATTTCTAATTCAATAAGATAATATAAAGTTTTAAGTCTCACAAATAAACAGATTATTCATTTTTGAGATTAACAGAAAGTCATTTTTCAATGTGTTTTAACAGAGAATGTAGATTTGGATCAATGATAAAAAAACAGACAGCAATTAGCTAATAAACATGCATACAGTTTAACTGTACCATTCAAATTCCATTTTGCATTGATTTTTTCCGTGTTAATAGAAACAATAAGGATGTGAAACCCATCTTTATGTGTTCTTGCAACAACATCCTGAAACAGGAAAAAAAAAAATCCTTTGTTATTTTTAAAATTGAGCTAAATAACTGTTTGCCACATTTTAAAACAACTTTTAATAAGCGAGTTGGGTCATTTTTAAAAAACACAAACAAGTAACACACAGAAAAGAAATAGTGGGCAGTGAAAGGATCCCCCCACCCCGTGTTTTAACAATTTATTTTAGAGAAAGGAAGAGAGAGAGAGAGAGCATGGGCCCCAACCAGGGATCAAACCCGCCACCTTTCGGTGTACGGGAGGTGCTCCAGCCAGCTGAGCCGCACTGGCCAGAGCAATCCCCCGTTTTCTACCACATCCTTCCAAACCCAAAGGATGAAAGAGGAAAAAAGAAGTCCTTTTCACTCCTTAAGGTTTTCTACTTTTTATATTTCTACAGATTTCCCTTATTGTTACCACTCTATGTGTTATTTACTATCACCATCCAAATAGTTTCTCTTCCCTTACTTTATCCAAATGTCATCAAGCATTCAGTTTTTCAATGTGTTTTTTAATTGAACTGTGGGAGGAAGAAGTCAGATAACATTGTGAGAAATGACTCAGATTCCGCATACAGGCTAAATTATTTAAATTCTTCAAGGTACTAAGTTACTAGCAGTCCCACTGGGGACTATACCTGCTGCTGTAATGTCTATGACCCCTTCAAGGCCCCACATAACTGGGCCAAACTTCTCACATTCCTCCTTGCGGAATATTTCCTGTCCTTCCATTCACTTCTTCCTCCTCCACCTGTGTCAGTTAGTGCAGAGTGTGTGTCCCTCCGGCTGCCGCGTGAAAACCTTTCCACTATCCGGCTACTTTTTAAGATGGTGCAAGAAAACCAGAAACATGAACAACCAGTAAGCGAGCATTAAGCTCTCCTAACTCTGCTCAGTTCCTATATACAACTCCTTCTAACCCTCTCAGCCTCTTGGTCTTCTGACTTTTAGCAATTCCCCAAAATACCGAATTTTCTCTCCCTTCCATGCTACACTCATGGTTTCTACCTATTTCTTTGCATCCTTAGTGATGATACATACCAGTCTGTTAATATGTGTCTTGAAAATTTGAAAACAAATTTTATTTTTTAAAGAAAAAGAAAGGCTACATAGAAGTTAAGTTTAAATAATAACTTTAAAGAGATTTTTAACACAAAAACAAGTCTGTATAAAATTCATATAGACAGTGCAAGGAAGTATGTTGTTTTAAATAAAGGTTCTTTTTTCTTTCCCAACTCTAACAACCCCATTTTATATCACTCACCAAGCGCTCTACCCATCAGCCGATTCTTTCAGTCTTACTATATAGTTCATGTATATAATTTGATGTAAAGACAAATAAGATGACCTACCATTTGTTCTTCCTGGTTTGAAACATTCCCAATATTTGAAATTAGTTCTTTATTCTGGAAAGAAGAATAAATAACTTCATTTTATATTGCTGCATTTTTATGGGGACAATTTTAACAATTAAGAAAAAAATGTGTTATAAAAAAAAGTAAAAATTTAAAAGCTGAATATCAAAAAACAAATTTCACTGTAGCCCATAAAGGAGTGACAAAGTCCTGCTTCGGAAAAATAACTCCCTTAATAAGGACAGTGGCTATGGTAGGGGGACAGTACTAGGAACTTAAAAGGGAGCTCCTGGTGCTAAAATATTCATCAAGCCATATACCTCTGATAAGCACAAGTTATTATATGTTTATTACACTTCATAACATTTTAAAATAATCCCATTAAAATGTTTGCTAAGACATATTTACATTTCATAATTCATAGAGCAAAAAATAAGTTAAAATGACCCACAACCTCAATGTCACCCAGAGATGACTGAGGGTGACATTTTAGAATCTGACCTTCCACCCAGGGAGGGAACAAGTGCATAGAGAAGGACAGAGTGTTGTGTGTTAAATGCTGACAGACTGTAGTAAGAGGAGCAGACCACTGGATTGAACAACGTGGTCACTGGTAACCTTGACAGCTGGGATTCTGGTGGACCAATGTAGTGGAGAGAAGAGAGATGAACTGACAGCACATCATGAAATGACGCTGTTGTATAGGGGAACAAAGAAACAGAAAATGGGGCCAACATCTTAATATGTGCTACCACATTCACAAAGAGCTAAGCCTAAAATTTAACAAATTAAGCATCTTAATAAAAATTATGGTAAAACAGAGTTTAGGCTGATACTTGTATGCACCGGGAGTAAAATAAATTCTCTGTTAACATAGCAAGACAAGATACTCACATATAATGAGGGAAACACCTGTAAGTCACTGTTGCAATCTATGTTTTCATTTTTTGTTGTCCAACATTCACTGTTCTTCAAATAATTAACACAATAGTCTCTGCCAACACTTTCAGGCTTTGATAACTGCTCCTACCCAAGGTAAAATTTTGTTATTTATTTGCATACTTATTAACCAAGAATATAATTTAATATTTAAATAATATTAAAATATATTCAGTTTGGAGCACTTGAAAATATGCAGAACAAAATACAGAAAAAAGTTTGAATATAATTTTAAGTAAAACTGACGGATCATAATATCTTAGCCATTCAATTGTGCTTGCCCAGAGACAGTAATACAGAATATAACCATAATCTTATAGTATGAAAGTGATTAAGGAGTTTTGAAATACATAATACTTGTCCCTGGGGCTACTTCCATTTTATCCCAAGTATTAAAAATCTCAGAGAGAGAAAGCAGCATTTTACCAGGAGGAAAGACAAACCAGACACTTAGCAACGCAAAGCAAAGGTGCAAACCTGACTGAGTGCAGGGACACTCATTTACTCATCAGGACCTGGGGTTCTTCCCTCCCAGATACAGGAATAAAACCTAATGGCAGCTACCAGGCATCAAGAAAAGGGTATGGGACAATGTGAGCAAAATAACAGGTGATAGCCCATTGGCAGATAGGTAAGATAGGAGCAAAGATAGTTCATTCTCACGGTAGAATGCTAATAAATGTGGGAGAACACATGGATCAGAAAATCACCATGTAACAAGCATCAGAGTAATAATCGATTTATTGGGCAAGAATCAAGGAGGTGAAAACCAGGATTGATGAAGAAAGAGGATACATCCTATATACAATAATAAAAGCTTCATATGCAAATAAACCAAAAGGCAAATGACCCAGTTGCTATGATGTGCACTGGCCACCAGGGGGCAGACGCTCAATGCAGGAGCTGTCCCCTAGCGGTCAGTGTGCTCCCACAGAGGTAGTGCTGCTCAGCCAGAGGACAGGCTTATGGCTGTTGAGTGCAGCGGCAGTGGTGGGAGCCTCCACTGTAGGTAGGTTGTAAGGAGTGAAGGGTCCTGGACTGCAAGAGCCCCATACTTGGAGAGGGATGTCTGACTGCTGGCTTAGGCCAATCCCTGGGGAATTGGTCTAAGCTGGCAGGTGGACATTCTCCCCAAGGGGTCCTGGACTGCAAAGGGGAGCAGGCTGGGCTGAAGGAACTCCCCCCTTTCCGCCCCCCAGTGCATAAATCTGGTGCACCAGACCTCTAGTATTTATATAAATAAACATATTATAAAAATAAAAATATTTTTTCACAAATTACTGTTAATAACAAAAGGAAAAGTAGTAACTTCACAGTGGTGAAACCTGGCAGAAACTCCCTGATTAAAAAAAAATGGGACAAACCAGCATTTTCTGGTATGCCTGCCCCCAAAATAAGGCAAACCTAATCATGAGAAAACATCAGTAGTTCTCAAATTGAGGGACATTTGGTGAAAATAAATGGCTTGTACACTTCAAATATATTGATGTGTCATGAAAGACTGAAAAACAAAAACAAAAACAACAACAACCCACAGCCTCAGAAATGCAATGCGATCCTAGATTGGCTCCTGTACCAGAAACAAACAAACAAAGCTTGCTAAAAAGGATGTTACTGGGACACTCACTCTAAAAATCAATGGAAAAAATATGCTTGGTGAAGATTAACAGAAGAACCCACAAAAACAAAAAACACTAGGAGCTAACAGAACATACATCTGTGAAGAAATCATGGGGGGCATCGTTAAGAGAAATCCCTGGGTGAGGGCACAGGGGCTCAGGCTGCAGGCCAGGGCAGGACAAATCCCGCCTGGCCTCTCTTCCTCTCTCTCAGCTCCACCACCCGAGTCTCCCCCCACCTTTTCCTGACGGTTCCTTTCCCTCCTCACTTCTGAGATCTGCTCAAATTAAATCTACCTGTAACTTACATAAGTTCTAGGTGCCCTTTTACTAATTTTTTAATGCAGTAAAATTTTTACATTACTTTTTAAAGTAAAATTATTGTTTATATTTGACCCTACATGTCTGATTTAAAGTTTGCTAACCTTTTCGTAAGATACAAGGAAATGAAAAGATATGTCTTCTCAGAAAGCATATGCTTTGATAGAATTAAAGCATGTATTACCTAAGGCCCAAAACTAATCTGTGGCATTTCTAAGAATATAATCTATATTTCTAGCCTCTTCACCTGATGAGCTAATATTTATGCTCATAATTTTCCTTCACAGCTTTATATCCATAAAAAAACTTGTGTTTATGAGTTATCTCATAATACCTATTAAAATGTCTATTATAAATAAAGACAAGACACAAGTGTTGGCAAGGATGTGGAGAACAGGAAACTCTCATACACTGTTGGTGGGATTTGAAACTGGTGCAGCCACTATGGAAAACAGAATGGAGGTTCCTCAAAAAATTAAGGATAGAGCTACAATATGACCCAGCAATTTCTCTTCTGGATAATTTGACAAAAATATGGAAACACTAATTCACAAAGATATATGCACCCTTGTGTTCATCGCCCCATCATTCACAATAGCCAAGACATGGAAACAACCTAGTGTCCTTCAATGAATGATTTGATTAAAGAAGATGTGATATGTACAATGAAATACCACTCAGCATAAAAAAAGAGTGAAATAGCCGAAACCGGTTTGGCTCAGTGGATAGAGCGTCAGTCTGCAGACTGAAAGGTCATAGGTTCGATTCTGGTCAAGGGCATGTACATTGGTTGTGGGCACATCCCCAGTAGGGGGTTGGAGAAGGCAGCTGGTCAATGTTTCTCTCTCATCGATGTTTCTAGCTCTCTAATCCTCTCCCTTCCTCTCTGAAAAAATCAATAAAATATATTTAAAAAAAAAAGAGTGAAATATTGCCATTTGTGACAACATGGATGGATCTTGACAGTATTATGCTAAGTGAAATAAGATAGGCAAAAAATGTATGTTTTCAATCATATGTGGGATAAAACCCAAAAAGTAACAAACTAACAAAATAATAAAAAAGAAACTCACAGACAAACACAGTATGGTGGTTACCAGAAGGGAGAAAGGATGAGAGGAGCAAATTGGGCAAAGGGTAAGGTGACCAGACATCCTGCTTTTGGCAGGACAGTCCTGATTTTGAACAATTTGTTTGAAAAAAGTCCTAATTTTTGGAAAGAATGCACGACAAGTTAGGGGATGTTGGGAGAACGGGAAGGGACTAAATTTTGGTGGTCATGTGGCTATTTAGCCAGGATATGAGTTTTATATTATTTTTGTTAATTTTATGTTAAACTTTAATAATAACAAATAATTGCTGAGAACTGATTATCGAGAACTGCTTATCAAAGTTCGCAACAACGAAAACATTTTGTAACTGTCTCTGATGATGCACATCGTACTGTATGCTAGTAAGTTAGTTAAACAAGTGATGTCATTACAAATCAGCTATTCAGATAATTTAGGTAATTTATTTATTTATTTCATAAATACATAAATTTTCTTGAATTTAACAGACAGTACTCGTATTATTTATATTTTATAGTGGCAGCAAAAAGTCTAGCGCCGGCCTTGAAAGCGACACTTACGAGTCACGTTACAATTAAGTGTTAAGACTTTGAAAACCACTTGATGTGTGAAATATAATTTAACAAATTCTTTTTTTTTTTTTTTTAAATATATTTTATTGATTTTTTACAGAGAGGAAGGGAGAGGGAGAGAGAGCTAGAAACCGATGAGAGAGAAACATCGACCAGCTGCCTCTTGCACACTCCCTACTGGGGATGTGCCCACAACCCAGGTACATGCCCTTGACCGGAATCGAACCTGGGACCTTTCAGTCCACAGACTGATGCTCTACCACTGAGCCAAACAGGTTTCGGCAATTTAACAAATTCTTGTGAAAAATTTCATGACCTTTTAAACAACGACAGCAATCTACTAAAATAATTCACTCAAATGAGAAATATGTCAAAGAATAAAATAATACTATACATAATTTTTTATTTATTATATTTGTAAATTGTACTTATGTTGAAATTTAAAAAATATGTTACAATACTATTTTTGCGTTCTATGAAAATTTTTGTTGCTCCATATAGACCAAATTTTTAATCAAGACCTCCTCCCTGCCCCCCCCGCCCACACACACACCCCTCCAGTCAATGGTGTCCTGCTTTACCAATGTTAAAATCTGGTCACCTTAGCAAAGGGAGTCAAATATATGGTAATGGAAGGAGACCAGACTTTGGTGGTAAACACGCAATAGAGCACACAGATCTAATTATAATGTTGCATACCTAAAAGGTATATAATGTTATTAATATTACTTTAATAAATATAATTTTTTAAATTGTGTTTTACTTACATCCAGCTTATCATATTCATTTTGACAAGTGTAATGCTTCAAATACCACTCTATGGTAAACTTCACAGGCTCTTGACAATAGAATGATTTAACTGTTGAAGAAAACAAAGTCTCATTTTTCAATAATAATAATATACATACTCCAATGTAAACTTCAGGTTTTAATAATATAATTTAAAATGGGCTACTTAAATGAAACAACAAGTAAAACATTACTTAATTTCTCCAAAAATCACTGCAAAATGAAACGGTAAATTCATTAAATTATAACTGTTAGTCCAAAGTTGCTATCCTACTATTCATCTATATGTTAATCCAGTGTTAAAATCAACCTAGTGGCCAGATATGTTGACACTATTTACTTCACTCTAAGTGTCCTCTTCACTGAGTCATTAAAAAAATACTGAGCAAGCACCCCTGGTGTGTCAAGAAGGGACATAGTGGCCTGTCACTAGGGAGAGGAAGCTGGCCACTGCCACATGATGTCATTACCGTTGTGAGCTTCGTGAAGGTGCCCATTTCCGGGCTGGGCTGTGGGCTGCATTTTGCACCATTGGGTCTCGGCAGTGTTGGCTGTGATTTGGTGGGCTGTCCCTTTGGAGCGGTGGTGGGGCCTGTGTCCCACTTGGGGGACGCCGAGTGTTGCTTTGTGGTTGCCAGGTCTGCGGTGTCATTTCTCTATGCATGTCATGGCAACTTCTGCGTCATGGCCACCCCTGGTGGTCAGTGTACATCATAGCAACCGGTCAGACAGTCAGACACTTAGCATATTAACTTTTTATGTATATTGATGTTTCCAGAAGGAGGGTAACAATATCACACAGACTGAAAAGAATTAAGTCTAGAATAAGACAAAGCTCTTTTTGTCACAACATGGCAGCATATCACCAGAGAGGGCAAAGAAGCCACAGTGTCTTTTATGACCTAGCATCATAAGTGACATGCCATTACTTCTGCCATATTCTACTGGTCAGATCAACAATGATATAATGAAGGGATTATACAGGTCATGAGTACTAGGAGGCAGGTACCATTGTGAACTTCGTGAAGGTAACCAAAGGAAATCGAAACTGATGCCAGAGGCTGAGGTTGGTAGGATTTCTGGGGCAGAGCACCCGAGAGTTGGGAGTGACTCAGAGAAGGAGTGAAAGAACTCTGCACAAATATCCCCTCGAGGCTCTGGCTGCATAGCAGCTTGCCCGTGCACAATCCCACAATTCTGAGTTCATATAGGGCTTGCACTGTTTGAGTCCACAGGCCTCATTCAATACGCCAAGCACCAGGGAGAGACACAGAAGGGTCACACCTGAGAAGTGGTGCTAAGTCGGCCCTGGAGTAAAGGCTACTCCAGATCAATCCTAAAAGAATTAAAAATAAAACTGGAAAGGATAGAACTGACCCAAAAGAAATTTAACTGTCTGCCAGAACAAAGTTTTTAAAGAAATACATCACAGCACTCAAGAATGCAAAATTCACAATATTCAGCATCCAAACAAAACCACTAGATATAAAAAACAGGACAATTCGACTCATACCCATGGTATGAATCAATCAATATGACAAAGATGATGTAAATGACAGAATTAGCAGATAAAAATGTAAAAACAGCTACTGTAAAAATGTCCCTCATGCTCAAATATGTAAGAAAAACATGAAAATACTGATAAGAGAAATAAGGTATTTTTAAAAAGAACCAAACTTGTAGAGATTGAAAAAATAGAATATCCAAAATAAAAAGTTCATTGTATGAGATTAACAGCAAATTAGATACTGCAGAAGAAGAATATCACTGAAATTGAAGACAAAGCAACAGAAATATCCAAAATGAAGCACAGAAAGAAAAAAAGCTTTTAAGAGGCCTCCGTGGCTTGTGAGATAGTATCAGCAGCCTAATTTTTGTAAATGGGACCAGGCGGGGAGGACAGAAGTGGGGATAGAGCTTCTAAGTCCATGATCCAAGGTCCATGTTTCACAGTGTGCATATCCAGTTGTTCCAGCATCATTTGTTGAAAAGACTATCCTTTCTCTAATGAATTATTTTTATACTTTTGTTGAAAATCCATGGACTTTATGCATGTGTGTTTACTTCTGGGACTCTAGTCTGATTCCTTGTTCTACATGTCTATCCTTATGCCAGTTCCACATTGTTATGATCACTGTAGCTTTATGTAAGTTTTGAAATAAAATAGTAAAATCCTTTCAACTTTGCTCTTTTTCAAAATTGTTTTAGCTATTCTAGGCCCTTTGTATTTACCTATAAATTTTAGAAACAGCTAGTCAATTTCTACATAAAAGTCAACTTTAACTTTGATAGAATTAAATTTATAGATCAATCTGGAAAGAACTGACAGTATGTTAGCTATAGATTTTTCATAAATGCCCTTCATCAGATTGAGGAAGTTTTTCTAGTTTTCTGAGAGTTTTTATCATGAATAGGTATTTTTCTAATGCTCTTCTGAATATACTGAGATGATTGATTATATAGTGTATTTCTTTCATTCTGTTAATATGGTGATTTACACTGAGAGATTTTCAACAGTGACTTCATGACTACATCTTAAATGAAGCACCTATGGGAAGTCAGACATCTTATCCACCAAACTGCATGGCCACATACTAAAGATACCAATTCTTAGCTTTCAGGCACTAAAATCTGGCTCTGTGAGAACACAGACTCAGTCTCATCTCACGCCTTCACCACACCACCAATGTAAATGTATGAACTAGAACAGCATTCGCCAACCGTGGTCCGCGGACCACTGATGGTCAGTGAGGTCCGAAAGGTTGGCGACCGCTAAACAGGAATGTTCAATAACTCATTTAAAACGAATAGTAACTGAAAACTAATTATCTCCCTTCAGCATGCCTTCCTGGATGCCCAATGGTGATGAGAAAGCTGCCTGACAAGCATGGCACCAGAACAGGAGGCTACATCCACACCTGCCAGCCACATGCCACTGCTACAGTCAGAGTTCACTAAGACCTCTCTCCATTGATAATATTGGACACTGCCAGGTTTTTTGCCTGACTATTGCCTCATTTTCTTATGCTTTTGCTCCTAGCTCCTTATGCTCCTCAATCCTTCTTTAGATGTCTTGACTGTTGATCTCTGACATTACATATTGACTTTTTTATAAATAAAATTCTGTGTTTCACTGGTCCATATAACTTTCTCCCCCATGTAATTTCTTCTTTGTCTAGACCACATGTGTCAAACACAAGGCCCGCGGGCCAAATCCGTCCCGCCAGGCCTTGCAATGTGGCCCGCACCGCGCTGTCATCACTGCATTCTGCTGCGTTTCCATCACAATGACAGTTTATGACTGTTCAATAAACCATTCGGCCCGCGATTTAGGCTGGATTTTAGATTTTGGCCCCTTCTCTGATTGAGTTCGACACCCCTAGTCTAGACATTCAGACATGAATTCATTAAAGCAATCAGATGCCAAAATTTTTTCCTCACCCACCTTGCACTTCAATTTCCTCTTACAAACTCTTATCACCACTGATGATCTGATATCACCAGGTTGCTTTGAACCACCTCTGCTTTATAGCTGAAGGCTGGCCCAGTTCCCTTAACAAAGACCCACATATGGCAGACTCACCTAACAAATGATCAGAGCATGAGATAACAGAGAAAAAAGGGTCATGGCTTAGAATCCTCAGGAAGTCAATCTGTGTTACCCACAACAACAAAAATACTCCCAATCTCAAAACTTTAACCCTGGTAAAAAGAAAACTTGCCCAGTTAAGTTACTGGGAACACCAAGAGGAGTTGGATCACAGTAAATATGATCCAATGTAAACCCACTAAAGATATTGAAAATCTCAAGATCCACGACTTGGTCATCCTTGCACAGCAGTATTTACATAGACAACACAGTCCCAACAAATATTTTCACTTTCATAAGTCTTAAAATATTAGTTAAAATGTTAGTGTCTTAAAATTTTTATTTATACTATGATCACATGTATATTTAGAAAATGTTGATGGTCATAATAGTTTTATCACAATCATGACATTTCATATATTCATAAAAGAAATTTATCTAGTTTTAAAAACTAAGATCTAGAGTCAAATTTTACAGAAGTCAAATACCTTTTGCTAAAGCCTACTTTACTAGACTTTAATTATAGTTTTTAAAGAATAATCATATTACATTTTCTGAAACAGAAAAAGCCATTCTTGAAAATAAGCAAGACTTGACAGAAACAAAATAAATTCTTAATATGTTAGGACCACTGAAAAACAAACATTTTCCTGTTTTATAAAATACTAGAGGCCTGGTGCACAAAATTTGTGCATGGGGTGGGTTCCCTCAGTCATGCCTGCACCCTCTTCAATCCAGGATCCCTCAGGGGATATCCCTGTGGGATTGGGCCTAAACCAGCAGTCAGGCATTCCTCTTGCAATCTGGACTGCTGGCTCCTAACTGCTCACCTGCCTGCCTAATCACCCCTAACTGCCTCTGCCTGCCAGCCTGATAACCCCTAACAGCCTCTGCCTGCCAGCCTGATAACCCCCTATCTGCTTCCCTGTCAGCCTGATCGCCCCTTAATTGCTCCCCTGCTGGCAGTTCACCCCTAACTGCTCTCCTGCTGGCCTGATCACCCCTAATTGCCTCTGCCTCGACCCCTGCCACTTTGTCCAGAAGACATCCGGTCTAATTAGCATATTGCCCTTTTATTATTATAGATGATACCATGTTACATTAGCTTACATTTAATTAATGTATTAGTTTATAATATATTGTTACTTGTTTATGATATGTTGTTACGGTAGTATTACGTTAGTTTATAAGACTTACCAGAAAACTTGATGTCAGTGGAATTAAACATAATTTTTCTAAATATCAAAGGTCCTGATTTCTAAAATGAAAAACAATACAGAAAAACCATGTTAAATTACACCCTATTTAAGAATATAGCTTTACCCTGTAAAACATATAGCTCTAATCCTTGCCGTCCTCCCTTTGACCAGAGTGATTACTTTTTAAAACCATACTCTAATTCATTTGCTTAAATCCTTTCCTATGTATCTCCTCCCTGCAGTTGATATGAGGCTCCAGACTGTCCCTGGCACCAGCATCCCCAGCCAGGGGCCAGCAATACCTAGGAGGTGAGGGCTGCTGCACGGACACAGGACCTGCCTGCACACCTGCGGCTGGTACTATGTGAACGTGCTGCTGATAAAACAACCAGCCCTCTCTCTACATTGTGATGGTTCACAATGAGATAAAATAGTCATGTTTTGGGGGTAGGTGGTGGAGGAGAGGTGACTGCGCTTACAGCAGACAGTTCTCACGGCAGCCCACAGGACTGTCCATCATCAGGGCCGCCCACTTCCTCTAGACCCTTTCTTTCAGCTCCGCCACAGCATGGTGCTCCTTGCCCTCATGATACTCCTGCCACAGAAAACTTACTCAGAAGCCTTTATCCCTGTCACTTTGTCTTCACCTCTTGATTCCTTCCTAACCTTTAAAGCCAAGTTCAGAAGTCCCTTTCTTGGGAAGTTTATCACCATATCCCAAAGCAGGCCAGACCCTCCTTTATGTGGTCTCTCGGACTCATTCTTCTTCACAGCCTTTCCCACAATTAAAACAAAATAATGTATTAATTAGTTATTATATGTTTGCCCTGAACCAAGAATAAAAATGCTGTGTGAAGGGATTATGTTAACAAGTAGTTAGGATTGAAAGGAAAGCAGACAGGGCAGGCAGCTCTTTCATGAAAACCCCTCCACCCTCTCCAACATAGTGTCCACAACAATCACTATAAATAATGGAACCCCCAGGCCGGATCAACAATAAAACCCACAGCCCAGATCTCTCCTCTGAGCGCCAGATCCACATACCCAACTGCCTAAAGGTCATGTCTCCTGGGATGACCAGCGCACATTCCACACCAACATTCCCTAAATCAGACACACTCCTCTCTGCTCCTCGTCAATTCTTCCTGCCTGTCCACCTTGGTTGCAGGTGATGCCATCCAGTCACCCAAGCCATGACTCCTTCCAGTCACCTCTCCTCCACCACCTACCCCCAAAACATGACTATTTTATCTCATAAACACTCCCCACACTTAGCTCTTACTCTCCATTCCTCCTACCACTGCCCTAATTCAGGCCTTTGACATTTTCTGCCCACATTTCTGCAATAACTTAACTGGTACTCTGCCTCCAGATCTGAGCCTAGAATTCATCCTTAGATGCCAGCCACAGTGATTAGCATTTATGTCTAAAATCCTTCAATGGCTCGCCCTTATTTACACCCAAAAGTTACTACTAGTGGCCTGGGGGGCATAATCCAACTTATAAATGGAGTTTGTTTAGCCCACAAAGTTGTAAATCAAATGACATAACAAAAATATGGATTCTGACTTTTAAAAAAGCAGACCTGGCAATTCTGTGCCTAGACTATCCCCCAGCAGAGCGAATGGCGACTACCCTCTTCACAAAGGGCATGTAACCTATAGTCCACTGCAGCCTCCACCACCTGTTCCACTTCTCTCCCTGATATGCTTGTTCCAGACCCCACAGGTCCTAAGTTTAGATCCCATGCATCCACTGCACCCTCCACCACCCCCCTCCAGTCCAGAATCCAGCTCACTTCACTCACTGATACGACTTGTCCCAAACCCCACAGGTCCCGAGGGTAGACCCTGGCATCAGGCTCAAGGCCAAGTTCGGACACAGAAGGCTTATGCTGGCCCGAGTTCCCTGTAACACTCATGACAGAACTCCACTCAGCAAAAACACCACGGATTTCCTTCTCTGCTGCTGCTCTACTCCCTCCTTCTTCACCAAGGTAACACCTTTTAAGACCAGCCAGCCACTGACTCCAGAGAGCGGAGTTGGAGGACTCCTCAGAGCTCCAGTAATATCCCAAGAATGCTGCCATGTAGGCAACTGCTGTCCTTACTGCGTAAGCTTCTTGAGAGAAGGGGCTGTTGTCTGAAACTCACCTTTGCAATAGCAATGGCCAGTGCCGTGCGTGGCACACAGTAGGTGTTCTAAACTATTTGCTGATCTCTACAATCAAAACAACCGTCTCTTGATGCATTTGTAGCACAAATGAAAGAAAGCCCACTCTCCTATCCTGAAGGACAAGTCCTGACAACTTAAAATTGGGGAGGGGCCGGGAGGGGGGGGAGTCAGCCCATTCTTTGCAAAGAAGGACTTTCTGGTCGTCCCCTCCCCCTGCTCCCCCCCCCCCCCCCCAGGACTGCACATTATGCGGGACCCAAGGAAAAGCCTTTGGAGTCTCCACATCCAAAGTACACCTGACAAAGATCTTTAGAGATATGGTCGTCATTTAACAACCAGTACGCAGCTGATTCACTTCCAATACTGTGTACTGTCTTAATTTATGATACTGCCCATTCACTACAGAAGGTCTGAGTATGGTTCTGAGTTTTGCTTCTTATTGACCAGAGAAATTCAATACAAGGGATGTGCCACACCTATGGGGGCACCGGGAAGAAATGGTTGCCCTGGGTCGTAAAGGTTCAGAAAAATAGCCACTTTTGTACCTCTGTGTAGCTTTTATGTTACAGGCAACACAGCCTCTGGTACTACCTTCTTTTTCTGGTTGAGAACATCAAAATGTAAGTTTTGCCTTTAGAACTTGGGACCCCATTCCATGGGTGTAGAAAATACTCGTCAATCAGCATTGGACGCGTCATCTCATCTAGAGATAATGCCCCTCCTCCGTTTCCTGGCCCTCTTTGGCAAGCTTTTCCAAAATGTTACCACCCCTGCCCTTCCCCGTGCCCATCCCGCCACATCACGTCTTCTATCTACTGGACGCAAGTGCTCAACTGGCCTGTCCTGGAAGGACATTCCCACACTGCGGCCTGCAGACCAGCTCCACCAAAGCCCCATCTCCCCACAGAACCCAGGACCCAGGACGGCGGGAGTCAGGGGCCCAGAAGGAAGGAAGGAAGGAAGGTGGGCGGCCCCTGCGCGTCCCCCTCCCATAGACGGAGAAAGCGGAAGTGGCGCGCGTCCTCCTGCGGCCGGAACGGAGCCGGGATCTCCGAGTGGCCGCGGCGGGGGGCGGTGGGGACGCAGGCGAGCGCCCCGGCCGGCGCGGCCCGCGAAGTCGGCCTGACGGGGCCCCAGAGCAGCTGGCCTCGCGCGGGCGGGCCCGTCGCCCCCACTCCCTGACCGGCTGAGGAGGGGCTGCGGCCGGGCTGCTGGGGTGCCCAGCTAAGAGGCGCCACTTACGTCGCTGATCGTCGCTGCCCAGCGCCCGGGCTCAGGGACGGCGCGCACGGCCGCGGGGCCGCAGCACAGCAGGCAGAGCGCTGCGCGCAGCAGCAGAGGCCCGGCCGACGGGCGGCGCACGGCAGCCATCTTGACTCAGAAGCCACCTGGGCCCGGGACACCCGCTGGGCGGCCGCTCCAGGTCGCCCCGCCCGAAGGCGATGTTGCTCCGACCGGGAAGCGGACCGGGCGGGGGAGAGGCAGCGTGGGGGCGGGGCCGGATGGGCGTGGCTGGAGGAGGGACGGGAGCTTGGTAAGGGTGGGCGGGGCGAGATCAGATTGGGGGCGGGGCAGGATGGGCGGGCCTGGAGGAGGAGTGGGAGCTTGGTAAGGGTGGGCGGGGCGAGATCAGCTGGGGTCGGGGCTGGAGGAGGAGCGGGAGCTTGGGAAGTGGGATGGGCGGGGCGAGGCCGGCGTGGGGCCCCCACGGGGGCGGGGCCAGAGGAGGCAAACTCACGTCCTAGGCTGGTCTTGCTTTGGTAAGATTCTCAGTGGGGTGTATGGGTGGAGTTCCAGGTTCAAGGGCTGCTCTGTATGTCTCAGTTTCGCACGTGCCCCTAACATGACCCTCTCAGCTTAGGGCAGACAGATGGTCTGTTAAACCATAAAAAGTACTTTGAGGTCAGGGTCAGTTGAACCCAAGGCATTGTGCTGTGTACAGAATAGTTGATTTTCAGAACATATAAAGTTGCTGGGCTTGGGTACTTTGCCTGCATTTTGGCTGTCTTGCCGACAGAGAACTACTTTTAAATAATTCTTATTGGTCAGGCTGGTGTGTCTCAGTGGTAGAACATCAACCTATGAATCAGTAGATCATGGTTGGATTCCAGTCAAGGGCACATGATCTGGTTTTGGGCTTGATCCCCTGGGGGTGTGTGCAGGAGGCAACCAATCCATGATTCTCATCATAGATGTTTCTATCTCTCCCTATCCCTTCCTCTCTGAAATCAATAAAAGTATGTCTTTACAAAATTATTATTGAATGTAAATAAGCTCAAGAGGGAGAATACAACTCTGAATTAACATAGTCATTAAGGTAACCTAGGATTGATTGATAGTCAAGAGCTCCCAGCTTCCTTATCAGTCACCCCAACTACTTTTAGTAATTATTGAGGTTCTAGTCTATACTTGAGATTGCACATGCAATCAGTGTGATCGTGTCTGTGTGGGTGGGAATGTGGGAATAACGGTGTCAGAGGTTTAGAGGGTAGGTGAGGTGGGAAGAGAGGACATGCAATGACAGTAGGAACCTACAGAAGTTAAAAGTGAGTTAGCTGTGGGAAGCCAGGGGCGGGTTTGAAGATGTTTTAGTTAAGAACAGCTTGTGCCAAGGCCTTGGGGAAATTGAAAGACTTTCTAGGTGCTTATATTTTAGTGTGAGATGGACATGGGAAAGACAATATTTTAACAGAATCAAAATATGCAGGTCCTCCTAAGCCATTTTGGGAAGTTAGCGCTTTAGTCTAAGAACATCAGACAGGCAGTCATGGTTGTTAAGCAAGGAAAAAGATGTGTCCAGAAAGGTCATTTTTGTTGTCATATGAAAACTGTATTAAGGTGTGCAATGGAAGGACTAGTTAAGAATCCTGTAAATTTTTTATGGCCAGTTAATAAGTCACAGTATTCTCAGAAGTAGCCATGGGGATGGATTAGCTTGGTGACTGATTAGATATTGGGGCTTAGCAAGGAGGGGAGTTGAGCCTGCTACCAAGGTTTCTGGCTGGAACAAGTGAGCTGTTGAACACCCAAAGGAGGAGAGAATGTGAACACGTTAGGTTCAAGCTCCCCTGGCGATGTCCATATAGTAGATATGAGTCTGATGTTAGGAAAAGCATTTGGGATTCTGTGAGCATCCTCATGTAGGTAGATGAGACTGCCAGGGAGACCAGAACAGTGGGAGGAAAGGAACAGTGGAGGTAGAATCCTGAGGAATTAAGGGTCATGAAAGGGTCATCAGAGCAATTGGGACTCACCCCTGACTGTGCTGGAAAGTCACTGAGGAGCTTTACATAGTACCTAGTCACCATTCTGGAAAGATTGTGAAAGTGGAGATGGTGTAGTTATTAGTCTACCTGGATTTTCCCCTAAGGTAGTATAATCCAAAATGTACAGTCAATATGCACAACACAATCAGGACAAAGTATCCCCATAAAACTCCAAACACTAGTAGGTGCTATCATCATCTGGACAGGAGGAAGCAGGGGGAACAATGGGATACCAGACGGACCTGAGACAGGAAAATCCCAAATCCCCAGCAGGTACTCACTGCCAACCCAAGAACAGAGCCAGAGCAGACAGGGAGCTCCCTAGAATCTGATTTGCAAGTGAGGGCAAAGATTTGGAAGGTCCTGCAAACCTGGGTCTTATACATTGAATCTAACAAATGGACAATTTCATCCAACAATGCTCCACAATGAAGAAAAATCATTGAAAGCAGAATTCAAATTCAACAGTACAGGGACAATATGGGGAAAAGAAAGAGAATGTTAGATAAAAGTGGGTGTGGTGAACAGAGATATGAGCACATTTAAGGCCATTAAAGTAGTTCATGAAAACAAGAGGGAGCTATAGAGAGTGAAGCTAGAAATTGTATTCAGTTCAATACTTCCTAAAAGTTTAGGAAAATTAATCTCACATAAGATAAGCAATAGTGAAGTTATAGGTAGGTGTGTGTGTGTGTGTGTGTGTACAGTTATCCTATCTAATAAAAGTAATATGCAAATTAACCACCACCCCACTATATCCACAAGCCACACCCACCAGCCAATCAGGAGCTAGTATGCAAATTAACCCAACCAATATAGTTGTGGCCACAGAGTGAGCAGGAGACTTGGGTTTCTCTGGCAAAGGAGGAAGCCAAGCTTTCAGCACACCCTGGCGGGCCCAGGCCTCAAGGCTACAAAGTTTCAATTATAGAAGATAAATAAATCCCAGATACCAGGGCCTCTGTTTGGGTCTCTGGGGAGCGTGGCCCGCCTGCAAACCACCATAGGCACCTCGCCCAGGCCGCCCCACACCCCAAGGGAACCTCCAACCTGATCTGGAACACCATTCAGAACAAACTGGCCCCCACCCATGAAGATGATAGATATGCTATCTAATAAAAGAGTAATATGCAAATTGACCATCACTCCAACTCACAAGATGACTGTCCCCATGTGGACACAAGATGGCCACCACAAGATGGCCAGCAGGGGAGGGCAGTTGGGAGGGATCAGGGCTGCAAGGGAGGCAGTTGTGGATGATCAGGCCATCAGAGGAGGGCAGTTAGGGATGACCAGGTCTATGGGGCAAGGCAGTTAAGGGTGATCAGGCCGGCAGAGGAGGGAAATTGGGGACAAACAGGCTGGTAGGGGAGCAGTTAGATAATCAATCAGGCTGGGATGAGAGCAGTTAGGGGATGATCAGGCTGGCAGGCAGAAGTGGTTAGGGGCAATCAGGAAGGCAGGCAGGTGAGCAGTTGGGAGCCAGCAGTCCTGGATTGTGAGAGGGATGTCTGAGCTACTGGGATCGGGCCTAAACGGGTAGTCGGACATCCCTCTAGAGATCCCAGATTGGAGAGAGTGCAGGCTGGGCTGAGGGAAACCCCCCCAACCCCCGTATGAATTTTGTGCACCAGGCCTCCAGTATATATATTGTATATTATGCAAAGTGTCCCCTAGGGAGACCAGGTCTCTATGATGTGTGCTGACCACCAAGGGGCAGTGCGGAATGAAGGAAGGCCCTGGCCAGCAGTGGAAGGCCCCAATCAGTCCTGGCCTAGGGACCCTACCTATGCACAAATTCCATGCACCAGGCCTCAAGTTATAACATAAAAAATAATATGGAGCACAATACATTCCTTCAGAGAATTAAAGCATGCCAGAAAGAGGTTCCAAAAGAGCTAAAACTGCAACCTACTATCTCAGAGTAAGTTAAAAGACATTTGCAAAATGATAGGAGATACGTTCTCTCATGCAGAGGGAAGAGGTTATAGAATTCAGGAAAAAAATTAAAAATAAATATTTCAGAAATAAAGACTAAACTAGAAAAATACAAGGGCTGATAAAAATAATTATTAAAAATGGAAGGTAAAAGAAAAATATTAAAATCTAAAATAAATGAAAGTGATATAAGAATTCATGAAGACATTTCAGATATAGAAGATAGGTAAAACAAAGCCAACATTCATAAAATAGAACATTCTGAATTAGGCAATGCAACAGAATATTAAAAAATATAATTCAAGAAAGCTTTTTTGAAATAAAATGATCTACATAATGATGGGTATATGGAGATGGAGTGGAAATTGACTGTAAATGACAAACAAAACAAAACATTCAAGTGGAAACTATGAGACATTTTGAAAAAAAAATTCTTTGTTCATTGAGATAAAAAAATAGTTTTTATAAGAAAAAAATCAGAGTGCAATAAAAATTTTTGATGATAATGCTTTGTACCAGAAGACAATGACATAATACCCTTAAGACACTATGAACACAAATGAGTTTTAAGCGTTTTAAAAATTCATCCATAAGCCATGTTGCTAATAGAATTATTTGTATTAGCCCCAAACTGGCAACAACCTGAATGTCCATCAGCAGTAGAATAGATAATTATTCATCCAACTGAATACAGTGATGAGAGTGAAATGAACAACTCTACACAATCACATGATTGAATCCTACCAAACACGTTGGGCTGAAGAAGCCAAATACAAAAGGATACATATGCTATGGTTATGGCTCCTCTTACAAAAAGTTCAAAAACAGGCAAAACCAATCTATGGTGTTAGAAGTGAGAATTGCATCCAGTGAGCTGGATTCTGCAGGGCCTCTCCCAGTTTCAGCCACTGTTTTCATACTGGCCTGCTCTGTACTTTCCAGTTAGTACTGCTGGGGCCTTTGGGGTTCTGTAATTCAGATCTTTCATATGCCCCTGGAAGGGGCGATGTTACTGACTGAAGGGGGATAAGAAGGATTCTCTGGCGGCCAGCAATGTGTATTTCTTTTTTTCTTTATCTGAGTACTGGTCACAGTAGTTCAGTGTACCAATCTGTACACTTAGGTGTGCACTTTTCTAAATGAATGTTAAACCAAGGAATCCATGCACAGAAAAGAGATGAGAGGTAATCGATGATCTTGGCAAGGTCACCACTGAACCACGGTGGCTGAGCTCATTTGCATTTCTTTGATGTCAGTTGTTACTTTCATTTCTGATTTTATTT